ATGCTATAATAAAGTTGTTGGCCTCCTTTGCCGTTGATGTAGGTCATGTTGACCTAACCACGTCAAATTTTGTGTCTTTTTTCGTTTTTATGCTTTCTTTAATCATTTTTTAAATTAAATATGATATTGTTGTGTTTCATTTCTTTGCTTCATCGTAGTAGTAACATGACTGGTAAGACTAAATAACATGGTTCACCAGCACTCTGGGAAAAAGAAATCAAATTGTTGTTTTGCGACCTCTGTATCAAAGAAATTGAACTGGGCAATAAACCAATAACGTTTTTCAATAAAGAAGGTTGACATAATATCATTAAAAATTTTAAAGACTCCAAGGGACGGGAGTACGACAGGCTGCAAATGAAAAACAAATGGGATCAACTGAAGAAAGATTGGAAATTTTGGAAGGATTTAAAGCGTGGTTCAACTGGTTTGTGTTGGGATCCAATAAAGCGAACCATTGATGTTTCGAAAGAGTGGTGGGCAGAAAGGCTCGCCGTAAGTAAATTTTATTTTTCATAATTTGTGTAATATACTTCTCTTTCAGGACTGAACAAAATGATTTGGGTTTTTTTTCCAGGTGGTGCCCGCAACAAAAAAAGTATAAAACTTGTGGGATTGAACCTGATTTGGAGGAGAAGTTGGACATCATGTTCGGGGGTGTCGTTGCCATAGAGAAATATGCATGCACTCCCAGCGAGATGGGATTTGGTGAAACACAGGACAATGTTGTTGTCAGCTTATCAGATGATTCACCTGAATTCCCAAGTCCAGGTCCCACTGAGATTCAATCTACGAACCACTCTAAGCGATCTAGGTTCGAGAGTAAAAAAAAAAGGCTGGAGCTGCGTCTATCAGAAACCGGATATTATGCCTGATGGATTCTTCCAATGATGCCCCCCATAAAGTGCAGAAAACATCAATTAATGAGGTTGTGGCTATTCTAGAGCAGGATCCGAGTATTGCAGCGGATGATGAGCTTTACTACTTTGCTGTTGAGCTGCTTCAAGGTTCGATGTAGAGAAATTTTTTCACAACAATTGCCAAAGAGCGAAGGGTGTCGTATCTCCGATATTTTTATGAGCGCAGGAAAATTTGAATGGACTTTTTTAGTAGTTGCTATGTCCTTATCTGAACAGTTTATGAGAAGACATGGTTATTTGAACTGTTGTTTAATGAGACTTTTCAGTTTATTTTGTTTTCTACCCGTCCTCTACACTAAATGCTTGTGTTATTACTTGTCACATGTTAGATTATATAGGTCTGCTCCAAATGATGATTAGTTTAATACTATATTTTTCTTTGTCAAAATATGTCCAGTATAAATCATTATGGACCAAAACCAAGTACGTCGTAGAAGGAGAAACACAGCTATCAACTTGCTCGTAGAGTACTACAACACATACATCGACCGTTCCCCCTGTTACACATCATCACAATTTGGAGACAAATGGGTAGCGAAAATTCTTGTCGGGCATCCCACAAGATTTCACAACTTGTTCCGCATGACACAAGAAGTTTTTACAGATCTTTTAGCAGAACTCGTTTGATCTCATGGCCTCCATGGGTTTATGAGAATGACTGACCGTGAGGTGTTGGCGATTACTCTTTATATATTATCACAGAACGAGTCAATACGTGGTGAGATGGAACGCTTCCAGCACTCATCAGAGACGATTAGCAGGTACTTCTCAATGGATGGAATTTAGGACATTAATTAAGTTTAACATGAATGTAGGACATTAATTAATTAATTACTAGAGCTACATGTTTAGGATTGCATCGGTGCGATGGATGGAACACATGTTGATGCACGAGTTTCAAATGATGAGAAAGTTGCATTTATCGGACGTAGTGGAACCACAACGCAAAATGTCATGGCAGTTTGTGACTTTAATATGTGTTTCACATTTATCATGCCTAGTTGGGAGGGTAGTGCCCATGATAGTAGGATTTTCAAGAGTGCAACACAAAATCCTCATTATAGCTTTCCCCATCCTCCTCAAGGTATGTTGCACCACAAAATATTTATTGTATTTTTTTAAAATGTGGAACTCAAGGTTCAACATCTTACAGGAAAGTATTATTTGGTGGATGCCGGTTATCCGTTACAGCGAGGGTATCTCAAACCTTATCCTGATACGAGATATCATATACCTGATTTTGAACGAGCAAGTAATGTTACAAGAAACAGAAATGAGGTATTCAACAAAAGACATTCCTCTTTGCGAGGCGTCATCGAGCGAACATTTGGTGTCTGGAAGAAGAAATGGGTGATCTTACGTGATCTGCCTCCTTACCCGTTTCCAAAGCAGGTTCAGATTGTGATAGCAACGATGACAATACACAATTATATTAGGCGACACCCGTCTCGATATGACGTTGATTTCCTCAATGCTGAAGCAAATCAACGGGAATTAGTTGAAGACCCATCTGAAAACCAAATCGGTAGTTCAATGTTACGAGATGACAACGAACAATCAACCATTTGTCTAAGGAAGGGGATGTGCAACTGAAATGACGGCCATTCGAGAACAAATTACTAATGCGTTGGTTAATATGTGATTGATTTGTAATTTGTTAGAAAGACAAAATAATTGTAACTTACGAGTGTTTGGTAGTAGAAGTTACTTTATTGGCCCTGGTGATGTAATAAATAACTTTGTTAAGGATTAAAGCTTTTTATAGATGGGTATGAAAGATCATTTTACGGATTACAATGCCCAATATTATTTGCATTTAGCTGGAAGCTGTTTAGATTGTCATGCACAATATGATGTTAAACAATTGAGTGTTACCCAAGAAAATATGTAAGCTTAGATGTCTAACATGTTGAGACAAGAATTATGTGGTATTTATGTAAATGCTCTAAGTTATATCAACTTTTGAAGAATTCAAAATGGAGAATTAATTTTATGCTTCTAAAATATATGTTTCTAAATTTTTATATGTATAGATGAATTAATATTTGTATATATTGAGATATAGATAAAGATAAATTTTAAACCTATATGTTTTCAAAATTACAAATTTTTTTTAAAAAATTTCTATAAAAATGAATATTAAAAATAATATATTTCATTAAGAAATAATATTTTTATTAATTTTATGTATATTAAACCCATATTTATACAAATAAATCAAAAATTTAAAACAGTTTTAACAACAAGGGGCTGTTTGGTCATTTTTACATGAAACAGCTGGCTCACAGCATTTTTCACGCAGCTGCACCAAATAGACAGTCAGCTTCCCCGCAGCTGCTTCCCCACAGCTGCTTCCTGGGGCAGCGCAGCTGCAGCTGAAAAGCTGAGAATCTGGAGCTGCGCCAAACGGACCCTAACTCAATGATGAGTGTAAGCTTTTAATCTCCCTACATGCACAGTCGAATTTCCCCCAAGCAGAGAAAATTGAACCTTGAATATAATTGATTTCAGATTTTGTCACCTGATAGCCAAATTATAAGCCTAAATAACGTAAAGTAGTTTAGATGTTGCAAAACTTTAATTTCTTCATTCTCTTCTTCTTCTCACATTTTATGTTCGAAGAGTCAAGAGAATCAGAAAACTAAATTTATACTCATAAGAAGGCCTCATGGGCTAAGCATACATTATCACATCAAATGGGCCAATAAGGCTAAATTCTCTTTTCTAAAAAAAAGACTATCACCACCATATGCCAAGCTTGCTTGCCAAATTCGTCTATCAAGCTTGCTCACCAAAGTATTTGCTAAGCCCACTTTTTGAAGTGATCTGCCAAACTTGCTTGTTGAAGTAGTTTGTCGAGCCCTCCATGATTACTCTTTGGATACAACCTGCCACATAAGAGAAATCACTTACAGACAAACATACGTCTGCTTCTTTTTTAAGAGCCGCCTGACAACCATGTCTTCATTTTTTTGCAAAGACATCATAAATAGGTCTTGTATCAAACAATTTTCATTTTGTTTCCCTTTTTCTCCCCTCTCAGGGGCGAGGGCAAGGAGAAGAGACAAGGGGATAGAAATATAAATGCATGCATCTCCCACTTGAAGGGAGATTCAGATACTTCTCCATCCATATATATCTTTTGTTCTCCTCCCTTGTTCAATCTCTTACTAAAGATTAAGTATCGAGGTTCGTTGAAAGAGAGGACTTGCATCCTATCCACTTCTCTTTAATACTCCTCCTAAAGTAAAGTCTCTTCCGGTTGTATGAGCCCATAAACAATACATGAACCTATCTCCTAAAAGGATTCAACATACAAGTTTATTCACTTTCCAAAAAAAATTTTAAAAATTACCTACAAGGAAATACACGTTGATCTATACATCTTTAAAACGTGCGTAATATTTGATAAAAAATCTTGTCAATTAAATAATCAAGGCAACCATGCTTTTATTAGGAAAAATATCTTTTGGTTGCTGATTAAATGATTCATCTACAATATAATAAAATTTACATCTAAAAGACATGTAAATTGTTTAATCTTCTCTATGAGGGGTATGTTCTTGTTAATCTATCTCTCTCTTATAAGAAAATTGAAAGTTTATTATTAATTATTACTCTTTTGAAAAAAAAAAATTGATAGTACATTAATAATTATTATTTCAAATAACTTGAGTGTAGATATCATTCAAACTTGCATATCAACTTATTTTAAAGTAGCATACAAAATTATTAGATTAATATTATGTCAACACATACTTTTTACCATCATCAAGATACATTTTTTGAAGTCTTTTACAACCATCAAATCTCATAGTTCATGTATCAGCTTCTAACAAGCGGTCTCTTCCCTCTTAAGTTTGTTGGAAGGCTGCATATTTTGTCTCATATATGAATATCTCAAATTATTCTAGTGACATCAAAATAAATACTGAAAATATTGTATATATGAAATATTGAATAAAATGTTAAAGATAAGTGTATACATATTATGAAAGAAAATAGTTCATTAAATTGTGTTTCCAATGACAAGTAAGTTGAAATACTAATTCATCTAATGCCTCAACAATTTTTTTTCTACATTGATGATGTAGTGCATGCATTACTAGAGTAATAACTACTCAAAGAGGTTTTTTTTTTCTCCTTATATATTTTGAACAAATGTCAAAATTTTTAAAAATTTATAAATTAATGAGAGTTTCTACAAAAAAAAATCTTACTCATTTTGACAAGTATAAAAATTATAGTAAATTTATGAAAACAATAATTAGTAAAATGATAAAATTTTATAAAGATAATGTATGGGAAACATATAGAAGTGCACACAACCATTCAACCAAAAAAAATAAAATAAAAAACAAATTAGACTTGTAATAAAAAGTATTGAAACAAGCAAGTTAATAAGAAAAAAAATGAAAAAAAAATACATCTCAAAAAAAAAATTTATATTTTTTGCAAGCTTTCTTCAATATCATCTCTGCTCAACACACTACGTATATTCTGCTACATAAACTATCATCTCTTATTTGGATTGCACCTAACTTTGTCACCATCAAAAGAAAAATAGAGCTTCAACATGAGGTGAAGTTTTTCCCACTTAAGATCCTAATATGTTCAAATGGAGATATTCAATCTCCTTCTAGTAAGAAGATTGGAGCTTTGTCTTATGGATTGCAAGTTTTGCATAACATTGATTCCACTTGTGTAGGATAGTTTGTTACTCTTAATAGAGATGCTTTGGACCTTGCAATGGGAGAACTATGTACTGTTCCTATAGAATATTGTCTACATTTTTTTGACAAAAAATAAAATAAAAAATTTTCAGAGCCTGTAAGAAAGAAGTGGGGTATGCAAAGAATAATTTTAAAGATGAAAAATTTTCTTACACTTTTATCTATGATTGATAGCTTTCTTGGTAGATATCTATTAGAGCTTGCAAGAGAAAACTTTGCGCTTCCAAGAATATTATTTAACCTCTTCTATGAGGAGCTAGAGTTTGTAAAGAAAAAAATGAAGCCCATGAATGAAAAATTAGAAGATGATTTTTTTTATTGCAACTCCATCTATGAGGGATAGTCATGTGCTCATGATAGAGATGTGTTAAAAGACTTCTAGAGGGAATACAATATGAACCTCTTTTAAAAAAACTAAAATTTTGATAAATTTATACAAAATTATCTTGCATTTAAAAACAACAAAATATATTGGAAATGACAAAATAAATTAAAATAAAAAGGTTTAAGAACGTATTTAAAAATCTAAGCAACACCCCTAAGTTTAATTAATCACTTCATTTATTTAAATAGGCCTAAAAAATAAAAAATAGCTAAAATCACAATTTCAAATTATTAAACATATCCAATTATTTCTATGTACAAAAACATATAAAAAATTTTAATAACCATTTTTATATAAGGAGAAAATATCTTAAAGATATTAACTAAAAAACAAGCTAATAAAGTTTTTCACTTCTAAAGATATTAGAGAAACTTTACTTCATTGAATTGAGACCAATGACTCTTGGTGGTTCCTGTGCTTCAATGACTTGATTGGTGCTTGATTGAATCCAAATTGAACTAATTTTATCGTCAAGATGATAAGTTTGACTATAAACTTGCCAAAATCAAGGTCTGAATGATCTTGAATTGAAATTTAAAGATTCTTTATTAAAAATGCATCAAAATCCATGTTTTATAAAAAATTATTGACCAAACATCATCATATATTTCTCTTAAAATAAATAATAAACATATATTTCTTGCTTTTATTATAATGCAATGTATCTTTTATATAGAAGTCAAAATTTTCTTCTATGGTGATATAAATTCCTCAAGGATAAAGTCTTATTTAAAAGAAATTTTTTTTTTCTCTCAATTTCACTTAGTACGACGCAGCATTCCCATAGCCCCTTCAGTACAATCTCTTTCTTCGCCTTCACACGTTTGGGAAGAAGCCGCCATTGCTTCCCTCCTCCTCCTTTAGCTACTCCTGAAAGCCATCACTGTCTCTTACTCTTCTCAAATTCCTCCATAACCCCTCTCTTACTCTCTGTGAATATCCTCGCAGCTCGCGATTAGGGTTTATTTCGTCGCTGCCGGCTTTTGTCGCATTCATCGCTGGATGTCAAACGTCTATGCTTCTTCAACTATTGCTACTTCTTGTTCGATTTATAATTAGTTTAAGCCGATCTCCGGTTTATGGAGATGGAGGCCTCTCGCAGATCTGTGTTGGACCGGTCGCGGGAGCCGGGCGCGAAGAAACCTAGACTGACAGAGGAGAGCGAGCGGGATCGGGGACCTTCCGCCGGCGTTACATCCGATCGCAGCCGTACTTATGCGCAGTCCAGGCCTGCAGCCGGCGGCAGCGGAGGAAACCCGAGATTTAGGGCGAGCGAGAGGGAGGAGAGGGAGGAAGTGGGGAGAGGGGGAGCGCCTTATCAGCAGCAGCAGGAGCTAGTGGCGCAGTACAGGACGGCACTCGCGGAGCTGACGTTTAATTCGAAGCCTATTATCACGAATCTTACGATCATTGCCGGGGAGAGCCTCCATGTTGCTAAGTCTATTGCTGCCACTGTCTGTGACAATGTTCTTGAGGTAGCCTGCCAGCTCTATCACAATGAATTGAAAGTTACTGAAGAACTTATTAGAAGTGGCTTTCCTGTATGATGAAATACTTGTGTGTTTGTAGAGTTTTTGCTGTGCTTCTCTGCTTCCTTATGTATTTTTATACCCATTGTTACATGTGAGAGATTCTCGTGTACTGTTATTGCATTCAGCTCCTTAGTGAGTAGTGTTTCTGTAGAATTGAAGCGAAGTTTAATCAGAAAATTTTGTTCTTTCTATTGGTAATAAAGAAACAACCTGGTCGATTTAGAGGGCATGAGTTGCATTAACTTGCTGCAAAATAATCTTTTTTGGTTTTTTTTTTTTCATTGCTCTGCTTTTAGTTTGGCGTTTTAGTTCAAACTCTCCACTTTTTTGTATTTCAGGATATCTAAACTTACATTTAGTAATTGTACCAATGAACGGCTAGTAAGGGGCACAAAATGAGAAATTACATGCCTCTTTTGGTTATTTGTAGAAGTTATGTTGTGTTACTCCTAATGTTATGTCTTTGAATATTGGTGTTGGCATTAAGTGGCCCTGCAGAATAGTGATGAGGCAAAATAGAACTTATGATTATTCAATCTCTCTTTCTAGCTTTGGTTTTGTTGCATCTATTTCGTTGGATCAAAGATTGGATGGCCATGGAAATGTTGGTCATCATGAATAGAGCAATTACCATGAACTTAAATAGTTGAAATCAATGTAACTGTTGTGTTTGATTATTTTTTACCAAGAATTTAGGGAGTTTGGACTAACTTACTTCAGGTAAAAGTCATCATGTCATAATCTTAATGTTCAATATTTGAAAATCACTATTGGTGCGACTGGTCTTGCCAAATAGAGGGCGGGGGAAAATTCGGTGGGATAAAGTTGCTCGACAACATTTTTTTCTACTAATACTTGATTCTTAAGACTATTGATTTTAGGAGTGTATTTTATATTAAATATGTTGGAATCATTGTTATTTAAAATGCTAGCCGCCCTTAAGAAGACATGGCTCCTTAATGTCCTAGTTGCTAAGATTAGCCTAGTTGTTCATCTAAACGAAATAAGCAGCTTAAAATTTTCATATTTTTTGATTTTGAGAAATGCTTTTGGATAGAATAATATGAATAGCATCACAAGAATATTAAACATTTGACTTGAAAAAATACATTGCCAAATTTTACTTCATTCAAAATACCAAAATGTAAAGACCTTGCCGGAAAGATTGCCTAAAAGAAATTGCCCACAATGTCCAAAAGCTATGTTTCAAGTTCAAACAAGTAAAACCTTAAGTTGGTAGTTTTCATAACGTAAGATTATCTAAGCCTTGCTTTTATCTATTTCATCTTCTTCACCCATGCTTTCTTCCCCTTTACTAGATTTGTAGCCTTCCATCTCATAATATGTTATTTATGCTTAAAAAATAATTATAAAAATTGCATCATAGAGGTGAGTGCTAGGTGCTTGCCTAGGCATTGCTTTAGTGGTGATACTGGTGCGGGAAGTGTTTGAAACATTGGAGCCTCGCCTGAATAGTTCTGACCACCTCTACATGGCTAGGTTAGAGATCAATTTTCCTTTTGACAACATTGATGGGAGCATTTGTTGATAATTTATTTACTTGTTTTATTTATCAAAAAATTTTGTGAAAGCTTGAATCTTTGAGCATATTTTAAGTATATATACATTTTTAAGATAGATATGGAAATGAAATGTTTAACAAAATATACCATCCTTTTGGTTTGCTCATTTTGCCAATGTTTTGTATGATTTTGTGATTATTTGTCATAGTTTGGATATATTCTTGTTCTTTAAATTTTTACGGTAGTATGCTATCATCTTTTGCTTCTTTATGACAATATCGACTATTTCATTGTGATGTTTTCTTTTGCGTGTTCTTTGTGCTTATTTGCAGGTTCCTAGTGAACAAAAGTTGCCATCTTTATATCTTCTTGATAGCATTGTGAAGAATATTGGAGGAGATTATATTAAATATTTTGCTGCAAGATTGCCACAGGTAGATTACTCTTTCAGTTATTCCATTCATGATTCATCACCTGTTTTATGACTTTCTTACTGCTTGTGCCTTCTTTCTTCCTCCTTATATTTGATGATAAATATTAATGTTTTGCATTTTAGCTATAAGCTCTTCTTTCAATTTATGCCAAGTAACATTCATCGTTATCATTCTATCACCTCTTTTTCTCTTTCTAATTTCAAAATCACTATTGTTAATTGGAAAATTTACATACGTACCACTTAATTCCGATGCATTTACGTATTCATCACCTAAAATTCAATTTTTACATATATGTCACGTGATATATGCATGAAAAGGGGTATTACTCCTAAAAAGTTAAAATAGTAGCATTTTTTATGTGATATGAAAGATTTGGGTGGTATAAATGTAAAAAAATAAAGTTGAGGTGTTAGATATGTAAATACATAGTAATTGGGTGGTATGTATGTAAATACAGCTTTTTATTTTAAGGTCATAGTCTGATATGCTAATTGATTTTTCTATTGGGGTTTCCTGCAATCTTTTCCTCAACTTAGGTATTCTGCAAAGCCTACAAACAAGTTGATCCTTCCATACATCATAGCTTGAGGCATCTATTCGGAACATGGAAAGGGTATTTCCCCACTTCTTGCCTCCAATCAATCGAGCACGAATTGGGATTTCAAAATGTCATAAATGGGTCATCTGGAGGCACAGGAACAAGGTCAGATGCTCAATCACAAAGGTCCCCGCACAGTATTCATGTTAATCCAAAGTATTTGGAGGCCAGACAACGCTTTCAACAATCCACAAAGGTAACGGCAGTGGAGCAATTTTGTTTAATTTTAGGGAAATTTGCATACATACTCGACAAATTTTTTGTATTTCATATTTAACACCCAAAATTTGATATTTACACTAATAACACTTTGGTGTCATAAACTTTTGCATGAGAAGGTTTATTTTACTTTTAAAAAGAAAATTTAATGTGATGTTAAAGGCTTGAGTGTTACGCATGTAAATATTGATGTTTAGGTTTTAGATATGTAAATACAGAACAATTATGAGGTATGTCACACATCTGAGTTAATGTTCATTGATAACTTCATCAATGATGCACATGCTTCAACTTTCTTACTGGTGTAACTTCACCCAGTAGACTTTGTCATTGGAAAAGAACAAATCTTGATATTTCTCTTAGCTCCTCTTTACGCACCAGACTTTCTTTTTTTTTAACCATTTAGGGCTGTCATTCAAGGAGCATGTTTAAAATTCTTGGGTTGATGCCATTCATACTATTTGAATAAGAAACAATTGCCATCTAAGTGTTTTTATATGTTGTTTACAAAATAAAGGTGATTTTCTTAAAGAAGATTTTGTCACAAAAACAACTTTTAGTTGCGCTTTTATATTATGAGCAATCCTTGTGCTTACGCCAGATTCGTTTTATTATTTATTGCATTTCATCTACTAAGGTTAGAGTATTGGGCCAGAATTCATTGCTTTTATGCGTTCCTGTAGTATGTGTTCACAATTTTTGTTAAAGCAAATGCAGAATATGAGAATATATTGCACATTAAATTTGGCATCTTAAGAAGTTTATTGGACTAGTTGAATTTCTGTTTTAATATTTTCATATCTCTTGCTCTTGTTGCAGAAAAATTCTATTAAGCTATTTAGCTGGCAATTTTATTCAAGTTCTAGGTCTAATTTTTATGCTTAAATATTTTTATTGCTCTTTCATAGGCTATTTAATGGTCATATCTGTGTTCTGACATTGATAAAAAGAAGGATTCTGTTTAATCATGGTTTCTATTTATGCACAACACTTTATTCCTATTGTTTCTCATTGCACAAATTGCGTCTATGTTTATATCCATTTTATATTTTAGATGCATAGCTCCTATTTATAGTTTTTTATTACTAATAATGCAAAACTTGGTTAGAATTCATGTGTTTTATGTGGTTGTGGTTACTAGAGTACATATTGCCACACATGCGTTTTTTTCTTGAAATAAATGCAGAATAGGAGTGATTATTCATTAGACCCGCCTTCCTTAAAACATTTTTTTTTTGTGTAGTTTAATTGCTCTTTTGATATTTTTATGTCTATACCTGCTATCATAGAAATTATGTTGAAGAGTTCAGCTATTTATTCTATTTTAAGTTTTAGGCCTGTTTGCTCCTTTCAAATCTTCCCTTTTCTCTTTTATAACCCGAGTTAATGGTCAATCTTTTGTTTGATTATATTTATCCAGACGTGGGCTACAACATATGGATACTTTTATCCAGCTATTTTGAATGGTAATAGATGCTTAATTCTTCCAAGTGCATTTTAATAGTCATTTGCATTGGAACATAGAACTTAATTAACCTTCATCTTGCTGATAATTTTCATCCATGAATAGCCAAAGCCACTTCATTAATATAAACTACGTTTTGATTATTAAATTAGATATTGCAACCAGTATGCTAGTTGTAGTAATCATTTGACTAGGAATATAATTATTTTACTTGAGGTTTTCACTTTTCACATCTTGGCCTCTACACTCTCATTATATATTTTTTAAAGGGTAAGGTTTGGTTAGGTACTCCCACGACAAGTTAAATAGGAAGTATTCTCACAAAGATGGATGATGTGCTTTGTATTTGTGCTCTATTATTATGAAGCTCAGAAGGAGTTGCATTAGTGAGGTGGGGATCAAGATCTTGATTGTGAAGATGTTGCATTAGTGGGGGTGTTTAAGGTTAATGTGAAATGTGGATCACTTTCTTATTGCTTGTTTCTCATAAAATTTTTGCTTGATTTCTTGATTTGATGGGATGAAAGAAGAGATATTTGTTTCTTAAAGAAACAATAGAGATCTCTTAATGATCAGGCTCTCTTGTGAGAATAAAATGCGGGAAGAAGAATTTGGAATTAATGAGATTAATGCTTCCTTAATGGGAACGAAGACGCAAAAGAGTAGAAAGAGATTGCAAGTTTTAGATTTCTAGAGGACTATCTGGATGAGAGAAGTTATTTATGGACTAGAGAGAGGTGGAGGGACTAAGTAAAATTTTTAATTTATTTAAAAATAAATTTGATTAAAAAATTACCTGTTAATTCATCATCCTGCAATACCCCTTTTTTATAATAATAAATTTATGAATTAAATATATATAGAAATTTGTTGCAATTCATGTGAAAAATTAATTCTATCTAAATAACTAAACTCAAGATCTTATCTCATCATCTAATTTATATTAAAAGTTGAAGTATAAGATAATTTAAAATTAGTATAATGCCTTCCTAGTTTTAATAAGAATGGCCTAAGAATAAAATTAAACTCATAAATCTATTTGGTTCAATCTAAGGCTTGGTTCTAGCTATGATTTTTTATTTGAGTTTTTATTGCCTTAATTCCTCGTGTTTTAAAAGAACGCCTTCAAAGAGTCCAACTTATGACATTTTTTTTCTGTGAGAGTGTTAATAAATGTCATGAAACATTAATCATGCACAAATTTGATTTGGAAGATTTGGGTTTGGGTTGACTTGATCAACTTTCGGGTCGGGTTCAGGTTAAATAATTTGATTCATTTATTTTCGGGTTATTTTCGGGTTGATTCGCTGACCTTATTATGAACCACCAACTCTTAGAATTATTTATATCTAATTTCATTTTTATTAGTTTACATTTATTATTTGGTGAGACATTTTTTTTCGTGTATTGATGTATTATATGCTTATTATCTTTTAAATTTGTACTTGCTAATAAATATTTTAAATGCATTGTTTCGGTTTGATTTGGTTAGTCACATCATTGGCAGGTCGGATTTAGATTAAACTCCTCAACCCTTTTAATGGCAAATTTGGGTTGTGTCCAAATTCAACCCGTTAACTTGAACTTGCACCCGACTTTTCTATTTGAGTTGGCACATCTTCATTAGCGTATTATATGTGAACCAGTAGTTATTTGTAAAAGGTTGATTTTTCCACTTTAGAATCAGCTGTTGTAATTTCATTAATAATATTCTTTTCCACATTGTTAATGACATATGATAACAATTAAGAATATACAATAGATGAAACACTACAATTAGTTGTGATAGATTGCACATTATATGAAAGTACCATAAAAATGTACTTATATTTAATACTAGTTCTCATACTTTATCGAGGCAATAATAACTAAACTAATGGCTATATTTGATTTTTAGCATTGCTCACAGTTCATCAGTTGAGACAGAAAATGTACTTATTTTTAATAATGTACTTATATTTAATACTAGTTTATATGTACTTATATGTACTTATATAAAAATGTACTTATATTTAATACTAGTTTATATTTGATTTTTAGCATTGCTCACAGTTCATCAGTTGAGACAGAAAATGTGTTTAATATGATTATAAAATTTGAGGCTAATTTTTATGTCCTGAATTTTGAAAATATATTTGTTCTACCATCATGAATTGTATTCTTATTATAAAGCTAGGGTTTTCATATCAATTTTTGACAGCATTCATGAGTATACACTGAAGGGGCGCTTGGTAGCGCCTTTTAATAGGATTTATCATCCGATTTATTAAATCGAGGCAAATGCTAAAATGCAAGAGTTCCGTGGATTTATGAATTTTTTTGATTTAGGGTCCCAAATTTTACCCTTGATTCAGCTTGAATCCGGATTCACTAAATCCAAGGGTAGAATGGATTTAAGGGATTCACGAAACCCTACTTAACACTAAATCCTACTCGCAGCCAAACACCTAAAGATTATGTTACAATATCCATTGAATTGAATATGTGAAAGGCACTTTTTAGGTAACTAGCAAAAATGTGTTGACCCATGAAACATTAAGAGGGACCTAGATGTGACACCATAAGGTTGCATTTAGTCAAAGGTGCTTTTAGATTTGTCTCTTTGGTACTTGTACGGTCAATAACAAAAGTTTCTTTCTATTGCAAGAAATAGGATTAGACGTTAAGTCAAGTTCAAATATGTTAAACTAGATTCAAACTTGAAATAAACGAGTCCATGCCGACTTGAATTGGTAAAAAAATCTAAATTTATTTCAAGTAAAGCTATAATAAGATTCAAATTTGTGTTAACTCAACATTAGTTCTAATTACTCAAAATTGATTATGTTTAAATAAAAAGCTATAAAAGATGATGCCCTGAGGGAGTTTCAAATCTTCTATCGAATGCAAGTGAGATTAGAATTTTGGATAAGTTAACTGAGTCATTTATTAAACACTCGCACGCACACAAACACATACATACATACACACATACATACCTACGTACACACATACATACATACTGTCCATAAGTCTAAGCTACAACTTGTCTTTGTTGTACTGCATCGTCTCCCACTCGCATCTTCTCTTCTATCTTCAGCTCATTGGCTTAGAAAAAAATAATTGTCAAACCTTTATAAAGCCACACCGCTTCTCTTGCATCTTTCTCTCCACCACAGGCTGCATCTCACTACAGGTCGTATTACTTTGTCTCCATTCATCTCTTTCACAATGCATCTCCTACAGGACAACTCCGGTTGCTACTATTCACTACTACCAGTAAGTGCCTCTGGATGCCACTCTAGCCAACCTTTCCCACCACCTTCAGACCTCGTGCATCTCTTGACTCCTATAGGCAAATATCTTTTCATGGTTAAGTTTTGATCATTATTTGCATATAAAAAATCATTTTTTGTTCGTATCTCTTAATTTGAATTATTGCATGGAAGAAAGAATGCTATTGAGGTTTTTTTTATGATTATTGTAATCGTTATGTGAAAGTTTTAAAAGAATTTTTTTGATAATATGTAATGTGCGTTCATGTAGTCCATGTGAGTGAACCATGATGTTAACTCTTTTTTATTGAGGTTAGGTGCTTTCCATACCATTTTAAATAGCAAACATATATTGTAATATGTTACATTGTCATCTCTATTGCTAGATGTTGCGTAAAGAATGCTGAGTCTTTCAATCCATAAAAAAATATTTAGTACAAAAATATACAATCTTGACAAAATAGAGTGATAAAAAATGTGTTACATGTATTTTTTGACCAATTAGAGGAGGATCCATCCTCGGTGCATGACATTGAGATTTTATGTGAAAATTAAAAAGAAAAAAAAAAAACTCTAATTTACTTTTTGATGATGAAATTTCGAACTTGGATTACTATTGGATGTTAGGTTTGTGACAAAATTTGCGAAGTGGTGGAAGGTGGTATTAGGAAGCTACCCCGTAAAGGAGTTTTTTTTTTTTTTTTGTCACTTGTATTAAGAGTGCTTATTCTATCAATGCATCATTTTCAGATTTAGATTATGATACCGTTCAGCTACAATAGCACTCTCCTGAACATTGGCTTGTGTTTCAGCTAAAAATACAATAAATTTTTGGGGCATTTACATGCATAGCACACAATTCTTATGCATTTACAGATCTTGCACCTAAACATTCATATTTACACACATGGCACTCAAATCTTTAATATCACATAAAAAATAGCACTCTTACCACTTTTTTAAAAGTGAAAGACATCTTTTCATGCATAGGTTTAAAGGCTATGTATGTAAATATGAAAGTTTAGGTGTGAGATATGTAAGTATATAAAAATTGTGTGCTATGTATGTAAATTTTTCCCCTAAATTTTAAATTTGTAAATGCATGTTGCTATGTCTGTTCAATTATTTTACATTATGCTTTAACTTTATCTACCAAGGCATCTAATATCTGTTTCAATTGTTTACATGCAAGCAACATGATGGGCGAGAAATATAATTAAATGATGAGTTTGATGAATGCAAGTTATGCTAATTTTATTTAGATGTTTTTATTGCCAATATGGATGGCAAAATGTTCACAAATTTCTAATTAAGCCGAGCACTTGAATTCGTAGAAGCTTGCAATTTTCTAATTAAATGGGCTGTTTAGCTTTTTGGAATGGATAAGAGAAGTTGCTTTTTTATTTTTCGGAAAGTTTTTTATTAGGGGTTTGGGATGATTTTGATTTTGCTTGGGTGAGAGTTTGAGAAGGTTAACATGAAAGAAACATGGTGATGGTGTAGGCATTGACTTTAGAATTTTAATTCTGATATCTAATTGATATAAATCTTGAATTGTTTGTCACTTTTGGGCTTCGCGTTTCTCTTGAAATTTGCTTGATTTATTAGAGAATTAAAAAGATGAAGAAGAGTCTTTGTTTCCTGAAGAAATTGAAGAGCTGAAAAAAATCAACAGATTTTTCAAGAACGAGTTTTCCAGTGAGATGGGAATTTGGACAAGGGGTCAGGAAATTCTTATGCTGCATAATTTGGTTGTGAGAGAACAAATGATGGAAAGTGATTGGGAATCATTTTTTTATGATTGCCATCAGGAGGTTGAGATCGACGGAAATTTCTCTTTTTAACCTATACTATTTGTAAGAACATTCTTTGTCCCTTGTTTATCGTAATTGCAGGGGGATTTACATACATACCACATAATTATTATATATTTACACATCCATCATCTAAATGTGAATATTTAGTTGTTTAACACTTAAAATTTTAACATCATATAAAAAATATTACTATTGCTAATTTTAAAAGTGGAATACACCTTTTTATGCATTTGTTTTGATGTGATTATAATACTAACTAAATATCAAACTTTAAGTGTCAGATGTGTTAATATATAAAATCTGTGTAAGTTTAAATCCCCCATAATAGTATTGCAATTTAAATTAAACCAATCCTATGATCTGATTCAAACCTAAATCTTATCCTATCATTGAATTTAAATTGGCAATGATTTCTTTTAAGCTAATGCCTTTTTAATTTTAAATCAAAATAACCTAATAAAATAAATATAGTTAAATTCATGAAATGGTTTGATTTAATTTTGACTTATGTCTAGCCATGATTCTTGATTTAAATCTGTGTTGCATAGGTAGGGATTTATATTTGATATTTTGCATATCAATCAAAACTTTGTTTTCACATGAAATGCAAAGCTTGGCCGACAATATTCTGACCATATTATCCGCCAGCATTTTATATTTTAACTTTTCTTTGAAATAAAATGGCTTTTTGTAAGTCTGTTGTTTTGAGGTAGATGATGTGTGTATTGAAAGGTCTTATTATTTTCTTATATTTTGAAGGGGAAGGAAATAAGCAGCGAAGGCATTGATGAAGTTGTTGCTCCACTCGACGATGCAGAAAGGTCCATAAGAAATCCTCTCGCTGGGAGTACGAGACAGCGGTCTGAATTATCTAATAAGGTTCATGAATGTATTTTCTATCCCTTATTTGTATATTTCATTATAACTAAGAATCTGTGGAAAGAAAATTTGAATTAATTTTCATAAACCTGAAGTGCTAAACCCTTTCAATTTCCTTTGAATAATAATAACATTTCAGGATGTTCAACACCCTCAAAAGGAACAACCAAGTGACTTCATTAATGAACGAAAAGGTTACAAGGATCTAAGAGATCCTAGTTTTTCTTCCCAACTTTTGCGGCAACAAGATGTGGGAGTGGGGAGGATTGGCCGGGTTAAAGATTTAGATGAGATGGGGAGGACTGTCGATCAGATTAGTGAGTCAGATGAGCCAAGCAAACCATATTATGAGGCTGGCGGGGCAGCTCAATCAACAGCCTACCGAAGAAATGGTTTTGATGCAAATTACACTTATGGTAACTATCGAACTCTAGGGTCCGCTCCAAATAATTCTCAGGTTTCTTCGATCCATTCAAATCGAACAAACTGGCCTTTGTCTAAGAATTGGAAAACTTCCGAGGAGGAAGAGTACATCTGGGATGATATGGGTTCCAGATCCGTAGATTATGAAAGTGCAAGCAATAAAAGAAACGCTGTAAGTGTTGATGATCAAGACAAGCCACTCAGCTTGCAAAGTCACAAGTGGATGTCGATGGAGACCGGTCAAGTTGGCTCTAGATTAAATAAATTTGATACATTTCATCCGCGGTCAAAGATTGTAGGAACAGATGATAGAATTCATTTCACAAGAGTAAGCTCTCATTCTCTTGAACAGATAATCCTTGCATCTTGTTTTGGATTGTCTAATATTGTCTGGGGCATTTAAATACATGCCACCCAATTCCAGTGTATACACATATCCAACACATAAAATTCACTTCTTACATTTATCATATCACATCAAAAGAAACACCGTTTTAATTTTTAAAAGGTGAAATACACCTTTTCATGCATAGGTAAGTTGACATGTATGTAAAAATTGAAGCTTAGGTGCTAGACATATAAATGCATAGGAAAAGGAGTGGTTTCTGTGTAAATCTTGCATATTATTTTTGCTACAGAAAGCTGGTATGCTTTGATTGGTGAAGTTGATATTACATTCTAGAATTCATAAGCTATCCATTAAATTACTTTTATGTGATACTATCATTTTATTTTGTTGCACTAAGAGTCTGTTTGGGGTAGCTGCAGCTATTTGAAGAAGCAACTGCGAAGCTGGCAGAAGAAATTGCTTTTCAAAAACCTGTGGTGGTAATTACAAATTTATTTAATTTCAAAAATTTAGATTAAAGCTTTCTGGCTGCCACCATATTTTAGCAGATCAAATTGAAAAAAATAACTTTCTGCCACATAAATTCAAAAAAAATAGCAAGACAGTAGTTCTACAATCAAAATTGTGGTGGCAGTTTGAAAAGAAAAACAGACAGAAAACTATCCCAGACATACCCCTTAGTGACTAGAAGTGTGATCTTTTTCCATCTTTTAAGCAAAAAAGTGTTTTTGCTTCTCATGTTGATTAGTTTCATGAGCACATTTTATGAAGAATGTAGTTTGACCATTAAGGACTTGTTTGGGATGATTTTTTGTTTTGTTTTTAATTTTTTTTTTAAAAACATGTTTTTTTGGGTGTGTTTTACATGTTTTTATTTTTTTGCTTCTAAAAATAAATTAACATGATTTTGAAATAGGTGTTTGGTTTTTTTTTTTTAAATAATCATATTTTAATCAAACATACCAAACGTGTTGTGTCAAATAAAACATAAACAAAATAATAAAAATAGAGATTAGAAATCAAAATTTGATCCCAAATGTTCTGTAAATCTATAACAATATTTAATCATTAAATAGACAGTTGAATCACTTTTAGTAAATTTTGCACAGTATCTATTTATAACTTTCATGCAATTTTGTTAATTTAATTTTCATTTTAATTTTGAAGGACCTTGAAGAGCGCTATTCACAACAACATAGCCAAGAAGTTGAGCCAAGATTAAATAAGGGTGCTTGGCCTCCGCCTCTGCGCGACCCACCAGTGCCAGCTCTTGGGTTAGATCATAAGATTTCAAGAGTTTCAAGTCAAACAGAGCACAGGCCAACTCCTCTTAGTGGTATTTTATCTACAAATGAAAATTCAGTCATTCCTAGATCTGGATTTCAATCTAATCCTACTTCAAGCTTGGGCTTTTCTACAGATGTATTAGGATCAAGTGGACTTTTAGCGCAGCAGGGGCCACTGCCTCTACGTTCTCCTTCACCCAACTTCCCTTCCATCCCATCTTCTCCCCTTCAACAACATAGTCTAATCGACCAAGATTATCTTCAAGTTCGCTCGTCTCAAATAGGTCAGAAATCCAGCCAGCTCACAGATCAGTTTAATCGCGATGCATTTTCTCCAGGCAGCCATGACTCGTTTACCTCATTATCCGAAAATCCAGCTCCTAAAGCCCATACTTCATCGAATTCACATGCTTTGTTACCTCTCTCATCTTTCCCTGTCATATCACCACATCCTGAGCTGAAGCAACATCCATCGATTCAGGAAACTTCGGCAACTGTGTCCCAGCCGAAAGGATTTTCTGGTACTACGCAATCCAACATCAGTAATCTATTGGCTTCAGTTTTGAAGACTGACATTTTGCCTAACAAGCAGGCAAGCGGCTTGAATATGCATCCTCCCCTTCCGAGTGGACCTCCACCCCCTCAGGCACTGACCTCCCCTCCTTTGCCAACTTCTTCAGCACAAATGGCATCTTCCCATGGGATCTCTCCATCTTTTACACCTTTTCTTCCAGATGGCATCTTGCCTCCATTGCCCCCTGGTCCTCCACCCTCGACATCGCTGGTAGGCTCCACCAACTCAGCCACCATTGGTCTGAATCCACTTTCAAGTCTCCTGAGCTCATTGGTTGCGAAGGGCCTCATAACCTCAGCATCGACGAATCAGATGTCCAAGGAGAGCTCGAGTCAGAACAGCGATCTCGATCCAACTACATCCACCCAACAGTTTTCTTCGAAAGAGCTTCCAATCACTGAGTCATCGAGTCTGAATCGTGTCTTCTTCGATGACAATCTGATAGGTATTCAATTCAAGACAGAAATTATTCGCGAGTTTCATCCTCCTGTGATCGATAGCATTTTAGATAATCTAAAGCATCGATGCGTTTCATGCGGTCTGAGATTCAGACATCAACATCAACTTCAGAGTCACTCGGATTGGCACAGCTCGAATAACTCGGAGATGAGTAGCATCGAAAAAGTGTGTCGGAGATGGTATTCGAGCATCAACGATTGGATTTCTGGAGTGGTCGAACCACCATGCGGGCCGGTTCCTGTCGAGACCCTAGAATCCATGCCTTTGGAGGATTCCTCGGAGCCTATGGTTACTGCTGATGAAAGACAATGTATTTGCGCGCTTTGCGGAGAACCGTTTGAAGATTTCTATTCGATCGAGAGGGACGAGTGGATGTACAAAGGGACTGTTTATCTGAACTCAGCAGATGAGAAATGTGTTGCCGGAGGCATTGGAAATAACATTTTGGAAGGTCCCATTGTGCATGCTAAGTGCATTTCAGTGTCTGCAGTTAATGGAGATGTTGCTGGGTATTGTTGATTTGTTATAATGGAGTTCTTCAATGCCTTCTCCCCTTCAATTCGGTAATCTTTTATCTTCGGTGAAACTTATTATATTTTTTATCTCGTCTTTCCCACTTGAAGTTGACACACACAGCACTTATATTAGTGACATGCTATTTTAACCTCAAAAAAGAGGACTTTTTGTTTTTTTTAAACCTTCGCAAGGATTGTGAAAGTTGAAACTTTTTTCAGCTTTCCCCCCTAATTTCCCTGAAATTTCCTGTAAATATACATATTCCTTGTGCCTGGTTGCACAGAATTAAGGACATAAAAATCTGACATTCTTATTTTTCTATATTCATATTTCTTGTAGGCATGACCTGTATTTTGCTTCCAAAGTGCATTATGGCTTAATGAGAGCAATCACTGTAGCAGGTCCTGGCAAGGGAAGCCAACAAACATACTGGTTCAAGGTTTGCTTGGCTGTTTCCTGACTCTCTTTTTGAATTTCATCAAGTTTGAGCTTATGAATATCTGAATCATTTTGATAAATTTTATTTGTGCATCATATATAATTTGCATGATATAGATATAAAAATTGGTTTAATCAGGTTTTTGTGCTAATATTTGATGCAATTTTTTTCCTAGTCAATGGTGATTTAGAGCTCCTTCAGTTCCAGCTACAAATCTTAATTGTGTTTTGTAAAAAAAAAACAAAAAAAAAATGAAAGAAATATCAGGATGGAAATGTGGTTTAATAAAGATGTGGTATGATTAATCATTATGAAAAATTTTAATATGATTCAGCCAGGTGTAGTTATAGTTTGGGGAAGATGTGGGATTTGTTGTAACAAATCAATTGATAGAAGACATTTTGTTTGTATTATTGTTATCTGCCTAACAGCTTCTATTTTCTTAAGAGTAGTTGTGACAAGCTTTTTGGGGGGTCTTATCAGTAATTTTCTGGCAAATATATTGTTTTGCTTTTATAAAGCTGCTTTTTTAGGCAATTTTTGTTAAGTTCTTAAGGACATGAATGTAATGATCATAGTGTAAAAACATGGTTTGCACTATGTATAATTCTTCTGCATTTGGGATATATTATTGTCATCATTAGTATCATTCTCTTCTGCATTTGAGTTGAGTATCTTGGCAGGTGATAACTGAAGCTAAGTTGGCAGCTATAATCATCTTTTTTTTCTGGGAAACTTGTGTCTGACCATAAATATGTTGGAAAATTTACATACAGACCATAAAATACCTTTGTTTTTACATTCAACACCTAAAGTTTGATATTTATATTTGCATTTTGGCGTCATGAACATATGCATGAAAATGTGTACTTCACTTTTAAAAAGGTCATTAAAGATGAGAATGTTATGTGTGTAAATATGAAAGTTTAGATGTTAAATATGTAAGTAAATACATAAGAATTGTGCGGCATATATGTAAATGAGATTAACATATTGTATTTGTTTTTGTGCTTTTGCCCGTAAAGAAGGCTGAAATTTCATTTTTTTTATATTTGCTATCAGATTGACATTATAATATAGCGTTGTGTTTGTTTGATTTTGGCTTATTGCAGCTATTTCATTGCAGCTATTTATGTGGGAAAACCCCCTAAAATAATCAAATAACACAAATTGTGCTGAAATATCTGCTGTGGCGAGGTTTGTAAACTTGTGTTTCTAGATTTTGTTTTGATAATTAGACTGGCTCTTGATTTGAACCGGCATCCAAGTGCATGAAATTGCTTCATTAGCTGCTGCTGTGATGGCATTATTATTGTTGTTGTTGTTGTTTTATATGTTAATTTTGGAAGATTTACATATGTACCATTCGATAGCCCATCCGATAGGGCTGTAGACGAGCCGAGCTTGAGCGAGCTCAGGCTTGGCTTGTGTTCGAAATCGGCTTGTTCAAACAGTGTGTTCGTGTTCCGCTCCAAATTGGCCCGGAAAAATTAAATTGAAAAAAATTGATGTAAAATGTGGGATTCAAACCTGGATCAAATATATACAAAAGAAGACACTAACAACATGATCATACGAGATGTTGTGATTTAAACTTAGATATAAAAATATATATATATTTAATTTTGAGCTGAAATGGGCAGAACGCGAGCGAACAAAGAGTTATTCGTGTTTGACTCATTTATAATTCGAGAACGCGAGCTGTTCGTGAACAACGTGCTATTCGTGAACAACGAGCTTTTTTGACAGCTCTAGCTACGAATGAGAAATTGCTTATTCGTGTTCGGCTCGTTTACTTAACGAACAAGTTGAACACGAGTTGTTCGTGAACAACGAACGAGTTTTTTTTGACAGCCCTAGCTACGAGTGAGAAATTATATTCATTGTATTCACTTTAATTTGATGTGACATGAAAAGTTTGGGCGGTGTGAATATAAAAGATAAAGTTAGGTGTTAGATATGTAAATGTGGATGGTATTGATGTAAATACCCAAAAAAAAGGGCAAATGCAATATTAAATGTAAACGGTTGGCTATTTTTGTTTACAATGAGATCGCTGAGCTTCAATGTATACATTGAAAGCATTGTTAGTTTAACTGTTCAATGGGCTTGGGCCGTAAAAAGAGTTTAATTGAGCCAGCCTAAGCCCAGCTAGTCATTATTTCCGGTAAGTGCATGCACATATAACTTAATCATGAAATATAATTGGATTTAGAAATTTTAATTAAAATTAATATAATTTTAATGACATTTTTAGAGTAATTATATCTCCAAAAAACAATTTTTAAAGTGCAAATAATTAATAAAAAGTAGAGAAAAAAATAATTCATCAAATGAATATAAACTTAGTAACATTTTTTTTTTTTTAAAGCATGATTTAAAAAAAGGGTACAATTGTAATTTCATTTTATATAATCAACCTTTAAACCATCCAATCCTCTTAAGATTGAAAGATCATGAGAAACGCCCAAAGCTCTAGCAAAAAATTCATGCCACTCAATTTATTTATTTATACATCAATGTCACCTTTTTTTTTAATATGATTTTGAAAATTTGGATGGTATGAATGTTAAAAAAAAGTAAATTTTAGGTGTTTGGTATGCAAATAAATAAAAATTGTGTTGTGTGTGTGTATGCCCCAAAAATGAAGTAAAAAGACACATTCCAAGGCCGAACAATCTGTTCAACAACCGCAATATCAGTACGATCAGCAGTCGTCCCAGCAAAACTTCTATCAAACACAAGAAATGCCGCGTATTAACAAGCTCGTCAAATTGCGAGCCATCACTCAAAACCAAAAGCTCCATAATTAACTTTTTCAACCTTCAAGGGCAGGAAAGTAATTAGCCTAATAATTTAATTGCTACCAATTTGCAAATTGACTAATTTGATTATTACCAAAAAAAAAAAAAAAAAGAAAAAAGGGAAAAAACACCATTTAATAAACATATGGCAGAATCCTCCAGGGAACCTGGTTGCAGTACTCTCCCCAGATTTCTCTGTACTTCTCAGAGCACCTGGAATCATCTCTCCTCTCCCTCCACACCAACAGAACTAGCAGATAAATGGGATAGAAATATGGAATTACAGAACTGCAAGAGATAAAATTGTTTAAACCATGGTTACAGTTACAGTTATATTATAGTTTGAAGGAAGATTTACATATATACCACTCAATTCCTGCGCATTTACATAGCCAATACCTATAGCTTTTAAGTTTCAGATTTATACCACATTTCATAAGCATAAAAAAGGTGTATTGGCACTTTTTATGTGATATGAAAGATTTTGGTGGTATAAATGTAAAAATTGAAATTTAGGAGTTATATATGTAATATAAAGGATTTGGGTGGTATATATGTGTAAGTGCTCAGAATAGAGAGAGACAAACCTTGCTCCACATGGCAAACTGAATGAAAATGCCAGTAGTAAATCTCCAAGGTAATTGCAGTGCCTTGAAATTCCCCTGCAAGAAAAAAAGAAGTTATCTTCTAAGAGATGTCTAATCTTTATGTATATCATGAGAGGATTATCTATTTTATGTATTCCCTTATCATATTGAAGTATGCTTTTCAAGGTCAATAGCAAGAACAAACTCAATGATGTTTTTTTATTATAAAAATGAGGCATTTACATACATACCAACCCAATTCATATGTATAGACATATCTAACCCTTATAGTCTGTTTTGACATTTTATACCGCCCAAAACTTTTAGCACATAAAAAATACCCACCATTTTAACTTTTAAAAAGTGAAATATACCTTTTCATGCATGGGTAAGGTGGTATGGTATGTATGTAAAAATTTTAGGTGTTAGATATGTAAATAGATAGGAATTGAGCGATATGTATGTAAAGCTTCCTTATAGAAGAAGGAAAGGTGTGTTAGAAGAGTAAGCTCAATAACATATTGAATTATGAAGATATTGCAATAGGGAGAGCTATGCAAACTTGTTAAACTTAATACAAAAGCTCAAAAACTTATGTAAAGCTTCCTTATAGAAGAAGGAAAGGTGTGTTAGAAGAGTAAGCTCAATAACATATTGTATTATGAAGATATTGGAATAGGGAGAGCTATGCACACTTGTTAAACTTAATACAAAAGCTCAAAAACTTTTGTGGAAAAAGGTTATAACTTGAATATTTGAATGGAAATTGACGGGTCAATTGTCTATAAGACCAACACTCTTGGTTCCTTTGGACTCAAAAGGATGGTTTGGTACCAAATGCTACATGTCTCTTCAACTCGAGTGCTATTAGAAAGTAAATGCGAAAACACGGACGTGCAAGCATTCATGTGCACGCACTCATAGATCATAAATTTGATTCCTATTCCTGAAAATAGGCTCTAAATTCCTACATAAATTCTTGACGTCTCAAATCATTCTCATGGAGCCTAGCATCCACACTTCTACCATCCTAGTTATACCCTCAACTCGATCCTTTGAGACAAACTTCGCTGTCAAGATGTTCAAAGAGAAAGTACATAAGCATGATTTTTTTTAAGGGGCATTCTCATACATATGACATAAGGATGGTTTGGTACCAAATGCTACATGTCTCTTCAACTCGAGTGCTATTAGAAAGTAAATGCGAAAACACGGACGTGCAAGCATTCATGTGCACGCACTCATAGATCATAAATTTGATTCCTATTCCTGAAAATAGGCTCTAAATTCCTACATAAATTCTTGACGTCTCAAATCATTCTCATGGAGCCTAGTATCCATCACTTCTACCATCCTAGTTATACCCTCAACTCGATCCTTTGAGACAAACTTCCCTGTCAAGATGTTCAAAGACAAAGTACATAAGCATGATTTTTTTAAGGGGCATTCTCATACATATGACAAAAATTTTATGTATTTATATATCTAACACAAACTTCTATATTACACAAATCATCTTAGCCTAGTGGTTGAGAACTTTGTCTTTCAAGCAAAGAGGACATGGGTTCAAGGCCTTTCTTATGCAGTGTTTGTGCGTTTGCATGCGCATGTGAAAGAAGAAAAAAGCAATAAATAAAAAATAATAAACTTTTGTATTTACAAAAATAACACTCAAATCTTTGGCATCACATCTGAAATATAATTTTCGCTTAGTTTTTTTAAAAAATGAAATACATATTTTCATGCATAGATTTTTAATACCAAGGTTTCGTTAAGTGTCCAAAATGTAAATGCATAAGAATTGTGTCGGTCGCATTAAACATTCCTTTTTCTAAATGTATGTAATGCTGTCTTTATGCAAGAGGATGTCTCATGCATGCATTCAGGAATTTTGAATCTTTTGCACTGAAATTTTGGGCAAACATATATTATACATAAAACACAAATTAAAGCAATATAAAAGTGGCTCTAGTGTATGGGCTAGCAGTCTATGTAACAAATAAAGGGTAAAAAAAAAAAGCATTTGGTGAGAGTTTTATGCAAATCATGGATATGCAATGTAAGAAATAAATGATGAAGAATCGAAGGACATAATTTCAAGATATAAAAGAAGAATGGTTTATGAAATATACCAGTAACCAGATGCAAGCAATTTCCCTCCAATTACTTTTGGGGGCTTGCCCCATATGGGAGCTTTGGGGTCCTTTTTAAAAACATGCTTTTGCTTGTTAGCTCCTCGAAATATTAGATAGCTGAAAGATTACATAAAAAACTCAAAAAACGAAAAAAAGATGGGAACTTGATCTCTAATGGAGAAAAATATTAGAATTTTACACAAAAAAGACGTAAAAATACTAAATTTGCACAGGTGAATTACCCAATGAGAAAAATCAGGCAATCCATAAAGGCGGCTACTTTAGAAAGTTCCACTTTGTTTCCCAAAAGCCACCAACCCTTCAAAAATAAGAATGAGTCATAAGTTTATTTATCGAATTATGATTTTCAATAGCATCCCAGTATAAACAACAAAATATGGACTGCTTTAGAATGGTCATGACGGCAAAAATATGGGTAAAAGATGAGCACATTCAAAATTCAATAAGAGAATACTAGATATAACTAAGCAATTAGCCTAACTTTCACGTGAAGCATAAAAAAACTCATAGATAATTGTGTAAAAATATTCATTTAAATGTGATTTCTCTCATCATGTATGGCAAGCTATATAAAATAATGAGATTTCTCCAATTATATACTAAACCATTCTTATTTGGACTCAATAATGAGATCTTAAGCATCAGAGTGAAAACTACAATTATTCTTTTCTGAGAGGCTTAGTGAGAGACAAATGAGAGAGAGAAATAAGTAAAGAGAGAAGATGGGTTAGTGAGAGATAGAGAGAGAGTGGAGAGAATATAGAGCCGAAATGGGAGAGGAAGGAATCAAACTTCGTCGCTTTAGGGAAGAGAGGGAACATAGAAAATAGGTGAAGCTTCTGGATTGAAGATCTCTTCATGATACACACCATCTCTTAAATTTACAGATTTGACTCACTTTGCAACATAAACCTTTATTCAATTGACTACTTTTTAATTAATGCCAATATAAACTTAATATTTCGGGCATTTCATTAATTGCTCCACAAGATAAGGGTGTAAAAAAAAGAGGAAAATTAAAATACATACCACTTGATTCTATGTATTAACATATTTAACATCTAAACTTTAATTTTTTTACAGACATTACTAAAGCACGAAAACGTGTATTTCACATTTTTAGTAGGTAAAATGGTGGTATTTTTGATGTGTTGTGAAATATTTAAGTGATATAAATGTAATAAGCAAAAAATTAGGTGTTAGATATGTAAAAAAATAGGAATTGGGTGGTATGTATGTAAATGCCTAAAAAAATAAATAAAAAATACGCAAGCAAAAATCAAACTCATCATAATGATTGCATAAAAGGTTAAGAGAATTTCATACTAAAATTTAGGAAAACCCAAAAAAACATGTTAAAAATAATATTTTAAATAGCATAGAAACACACGTACAAAGTATGAATTAGAAATTTGATTTCAGTAAGACATGCCTGAATGCTAAAAGTGAAAGGAATGAATACTAGATCTCCAAAGACCAACATGAAGCCCAAACTCTCCGCAATCACATCCCACCTACAAAATCAATCAACAAAATAAATGAAAAAAAATAAAAAATTAATTAAATATTTTTGGAAACAAAATAAGCAAATCAGTACCAAAAGGTAAAACTAAACTCAGTAAGACATGCCTGAATGCTAAAAGTGAAAGGAATGAATACTAGATCTCCAAAGACCAACATGAAGCCCAAACTCTCCGCAATCACATCCCACCTACAAAATAAATCAACAAAATAAAAAAAAAATTTCAAAATCAATTAAATCTTTTGGAAACATAATAAGCAAATTAGTACCAAAAGGTAATACTAAACAAAAAACAATGAGAATATGGAGAATTGCATGTTTCTTTACTTATGACGAATCCTTGCATATAATTTCCAAACATGTTAAATTACATAACGATAAAACCACAATTCCTGATAGTACTAAAGCTTAATTATGTCTCAGATGTTTCTTTCTGAAGAACTTTTCAAATCATTCTACATGAGATCTCAAGTGAATCTGATTAGAGGTGCAAACGAATCGAGTTAGGTCGACTTGAGCTTGAGCTTGATTAATCGAGTCTACATGAGATCTCAAGTGAATCTGATTAGAGGTGAAAACGAATCGAGTTAGGCTCGAGCCACCCTCGACTTGAGCTTGAGCTTGATTAATCGAGTTTAGGCTTGAGCTCGAGCTGGCTCACGAGCCGACATATTTATATGAAAGAGAAAAAAATAATATTAATTCAAGCTAGTATTATAATAAAATAATAGATATAATAAGCAATTATATAATAAAAATAATAAATCACTTGATATAAAATATAAAATATCATTTTTTAAACTATCTTTAATAATTTAAAGATAAATTCTTGAATTTTAATATATTTTATATTAATATTTTTTAAAATAAGCTGGCTCACGGGCTAAGGAGTTTATTCGGGCCTGACTTGAGCTTTGTTTGTTAGCTCATTGAGCCCAGCTCACAATCCACATGTCAAGCCGAGCCCAAGCCGGCTCAAAACTTGGCTTGGCTCAGTTACACCACTTATCTAGATATACATTGCTTGAAAAAATTTGTGAGATTAAGTTTGTTATGTTAAGGATAATGAACTTCTACAATACCAAATGGACAGAAGATAATGTGACATTAAATAAGCATGTTCAAGACAAACATATACCATATATTTGGAATATTAACTAATAATGTGAGAATCTTGAGTGAAAATATTCAAAAATAAACTTTATTTGAGCCAAATTGCCAGAATGGAAAGATTATAAAGACTTACGTTGAAGTCATAAACTCTTCATAAAAGAAGTAATCTATAACGTACAGCTGAAAAGATAATCAAGTTTTAACATTAGTAACAATGGGCTAACTTAATCTCAGAAAACTACAAAAAAGAACTGCACAATACCGCACAAAATAGCTGGTAAAGAATAACAGAGAGATTTGCATCGCCAGCTTGAAGACTTTTTGAGAAGATAGAGAGATTGATGAACAGCCATCCCATCAAACCAGCTCGGACAAAAAAGAATCTATGTAGAATTATTTGGTAAAAATATTTGGGAGTTGCAGATATTCTTACAGAAACATAAATATAATTCAGAAGAAAATTACACAAACATTGTGCATGCAAAGATCTAAATAGTCAGCTATAGAAATTTGCAAAAGTAACTCAAGGAGGCCTTCACTAGCCAAACTGAAAGCCTAAAGAGTCAAATTTATAGAGACAGCCTAAGTATAAGGAGTGTGTACTCTCACCTCTCTTCATTATTAATTTTTGGAATATTTTTTACATACATGCCACTCAATATTTACATACATGCCACTCAATTCCTATGTATTTTCATATCTAACAACTAAACTTCAATTTTTACAAACATACAGCCTTCCATATGCATGAAAAGGTAGTGTGGTATTTTTTTAGGTAATATGAAAGATTTGAGTGTTATAAATGTAAAAAGTAAAATATAGGTGTTAGATATGTAAATTCAAAAGAAATGAGTGGTATGTATGTAAATGCCCATATTTTTTCTAAGTTTTGGAGTGAAACCCCAGATATCTCAATGAAGATTTCCCCAGCCAAGCCAATACTGTTGAGGGGTCAACGAGTGGAAAAGGTGGGGACAAGTATAAGAATGTGTGTATTCCTGTCTGTCTTGAGCAATTGCTATCACTTAATAACTCATACTGGTGGGATACCAAGACCTTCACTAACTTTGAGGATTTATAATTCATAAATAATGAAGCAAAATATCACTGGGTGGCGCATGCCATTGTTGGCAAAAAACCTTAACTCAACTTCAAAGAAGTTATCTACAAAATATTATTCTGAAAATGAATAACCAAACTAACATCAAATTTTTTTAGACCTTGCATTTATATTGTAAAATTCATTAAAATTTTATAGAAGAAAACTATTTTAACATACCAAAGATTTGTTAATAATAACAATCGTCAAATAAACATGAAAATTAAAATCGTTTTATCTCGATGATCAGGTAGTTAAGGGAATATAACACCAAAAGATTTCATTTATGTGGAATAAAAACTGAAGAAAAATAAGTTTCTCCAGGAAGATTCTCGTAGTCTACATACATTAACAGCAGCTGCAGTAGAGATGTGATAAGGCTCTGTGATTGGTGTTTCAATGCTTACCAGAAGTAGAAATCAACAATGACAGTTGGGAAGGACGTTTAAAGATGGCACGGGTTTAATGTCTCTCGCTTTACCTCAAGAAATCGCCAGTAGATTTATCATAGATATTAATATTAAAAGCATATATAAAGATGGTAAAAATGTAAGATTTATAGAAGGGAAATTTACATTCCTACCAGACAATTCTTATGTATTTACATATCTAACACCCAATGTTTGATATTTGCACTAATAACACCTTAGTATCATAAACCTATGCATTAAAAGGTGCATTTCACTTTTTAAAAGGTAGTGAAAATGATATTTTTTAATGCGATGCTAATGATTTGAGTGGTATGCAAGTACATGTGAATGTTTAGGCGTTAGATATGTAAATTCATAAGACTTGTGTGGTATGTGTAACTTTATAGAAAGATGTTCCAAAGTGTACGCAGGAGAGCTAGTAGATGTTGAAAACTGGACGATGAGGGTAGAGAAAATTATATAAAGCATGACATGTCCACAAGAGAGGAAAGTTAACATTGCGACATTTTCCTTTGAGGGGGAAGCTGAGAAATGATGGTAAGCACAGTTGCAGGAGAGATTTGATGTTCGACCTAGCCACTTGGTTAAGTGGGAAAAGTTTGTGAGAATCTTTCAGAGATTGATTTGTACCACTGCCAGCTAGGAGAAAGATATAAAATAAATTTTTTAGGTTTGTGCGGCAAGATCAATTGATCATGCAGTATGAAGCTGAGTTTACTATGCTTTTAAAGTATGCACCACAACTCGTTCCACATATAGAGGTGAATGCCACAAGTTTCTTTCTAGATTGGTGCCACTTGGGATTGAAGACTGTTCAATATTAGTTGAGAGAGCTAAAAGAGTGAAAATTGATTTTTATTAGACTCAAAAGTGTACAGACATGCAAAAGAGAAAGAGCTTGGAAGATGTGACACCAATAGTTCATTCTGAAGAATTTAATGGAAATAAAATAAAATTATATATTGATGGATTTAATAGTGAGGTTGGCAGCAACAACACTACAAAGCACTGTGTTAAGTGTGATAAGCTACATCGTGGTGAATGCTTATTTAATTCTAAGGTATGTTATTTATGCCAACGACCGGGATAACAGATGAGAAACTGCTCTTATTATGTTCAGAGTTCTACGCCAAATGCTAAGGGATTTAGCCTAGAGAAATTTTTAGGAGGGATCTACTTTTAGAAGTGGTCAATAGAGAATGACAAAATTGATATAATGACTCATAAAGAGCAAACAAGGCAGAACATTTGACCAAGACTCTATTTCTTAACTCATTAAGAGTCTAAAGTACCTTATGCTACTGATGCAATGTTAATTGAGTTTGATGAGTGTTAAGTCAAATGAGTGTCGTGTTATTTATATCGTGTGGAGAACTCTATGTGTTTTTATTTTAGAAGTTGAGCATTGTGTTAGTTTTGTTACCTTGTTTAGGATGTAATGTTATTTTAGTTATATTATTATATATTAGATGTTTGGGAATTATTTAGTTGAATTATCCTATCCCAGTTGTTGAATTTATCATATATACTTTATTATTACTTAACAAGAATTAAAGTTTCTTGAAGAGTTTTAGATAGTTGATGTTTTGTCTACATAGTGATTAGCCTGTGTGAAGTTCATAAATTTCGATGATGAAATTTTTTTAGAGGAGATTATAACAACTGTAATAATAATAATAACAATAATAATAATAAAATATAAATAAATAAAATTAATTGTTTGTCAGTGAAACCTTCACGACAATGTCGATTGGGAAGACAAATAATTAAAATAATCAAAATGTTTAAAAATATAAAAAATGGTTCAAAATGAGTGGGAATGTCTTCTGAATCAGAAGACCAGGCAAACAAAAGCGACATAGCGAGGATGAGTCAGAAGGAAGAAGAAGGAAGTCTCATACCTTGTTGTTGTGTCACATTCGAGCAACGGAAGAGTGTTCATGCGCTTGGGAGGAGAAGACGCCGCTTTTGGGCTCGAAAGACATGAGCTACGGCATCATACGAGTGTGTTGAGGGTGTGGGAACCAACAACCATTCCGAGCAGGCATTCCTATGTGTGAGGGAATGAATAAGTGCCTTTCGTGCGGGGAGCACCGTCGATATGTGCTCTGTGTGGCAAGAGAGAAGGAAAGGGGTTCTCGCGTGTGTGTGGAATAGTAAAGAGAAAGAACTGAGACCTTTTATACCGATTTGAAGAAAGAGTTAAGAGGAGACCAAAGAAATTGAGCAGACCTAGCTTGTCATGAAGGAGCCCACACGAAATAAATTTGTGCGCTATGTATGCAAATGCCCTTGAATGAAAAGAAATCTAATGTAAACTAAAATACAAAGCAATTTAAAATTCACACTATGTGCTTACAAAATATATACATTTTCAGATTTTTCATCTTTAAATTAGCAAGATATTAACAGTGTGAAATGCCAAATTGGCAATTCATACAGCATTGAGTGCCAATTGAGGGCTTTAGGCTTTCAAGGTAAGTGAATTATAGCACCTAAGCTCAACGGACCAATAAAGCAAGCAACTTTGTAATTAGAAAATTTGCTAAATTAATTTTTCATTTTTTAGTTTGAGCTAGATTAACCTCAATCTTCATTTTTTTCATTGTACATCTTTCCAATAAACTTCATGATTTAATTCAATGGATCCTTTTTAGCTTCTCATTCAACCATAGAGAGTGGTAGAACTCTGCTGTTCAGTTCTTCTTGATCTCATTGTTTATCTAATTTTCCAGTTACGCTACCTGTTCTTCCGCAAGCCTTTGAATTTTCTGGTGGACATTATGACTAATATTTTAATATTGTTATGAAATATTAATGTTAAAATGCTATTTATCACATTTATTTTAATTTGTGAAAATTCAATACATTTTGATATGATTCCTTCCTCAATTTTGTATAAAAAATTTTAAAAAAATTATACTTCACATAAGTACTATTTGTGAATCCATCTTTATATCTTCAGAGCTATAATCACCAATTTTGTTTCGGCATGATAAAAGTACGTTATTTCTGCCTTAATTCCTATCAGTATCTTGCTTCGTGCATTTTCTCAAACAAATTTGGGCCACGCCACATTTCATCTTAATAAGCATGAAAGAAAATCGTCTCAAAAAATATCATGAAATTGAAGTTATGACCACTAATATTTTTCCTTGTTCTGCTAAATTATACTTGTTGGATTCATACACCCATACCCAAAGAGTTGAGAGTAAGGCTAATGACACAAATGTAAAATTATAAGTCTGGTGAAATTGAAGAAAGACATGTTGCATTTCCTTTGCAGTCTATGTCTGTTATTGGGCAAAAACAAAAAGGGAAATTTACATACCTAGCACATTTCTTATGAATTTACGTATCTCACACTTAAACTCATATTTACATACAAAGCATGTTAGTGCTTTAAACGTATGCATGTAAAGGTGAATTTAACGAAAAGATGTATTTTCAAGAACGGGTGTATTTCACTTTTAAAAAGTGGTTATAGTACTATTTTTTATGTGATATTAAGGATTTGATAATTATATGTGTAAATATGAACGTTTAGGTGTGACATATGTAAATATATTAGAATTGTGTGATATGTATGTAAATACCCCAAACAAAATAAAAGATAAAATAAATAGATAGACTATAGCTCACATACTTAAGATCGACACCCATGAAGTGAGGATTTAGTTGTACACCAAACCACCTGCGGAAAAAAGATCAATAAAAAACAGCGCAGGAAAGCACTCTTACTCCTAATAGTTTCAAAGCAAAACTCAGTAAATCATTGCATGATGTTTTATGCAACCCCATTCAATTGGCTTATGATATTTTTACATGAATTACAAAAGGATAAAGTACGATGTTTTGTGCAACCCCATTCAATTGGCTTATCAGGATGTTTGCAGAAATAACAAAATAAATACAAATCTTCTAAAGTTTCGCTAGTACCGCATGGAGCTAATTGCATTTGCACTATTAAACCATCCTACCATCCTCCAATTAGAAGTCAAATTGCCCTCTGTGAAGTTATTCAATTACACATCAAATCTTTTTCATCAGATAAACAACCTGTAGCAAACCGCAAATGTAAAGAAGACTCGTTTGTTATGAGCATTAGCCTTATCCCATCATCATTGCCTTCATTCAAATTAATTGTGATAGGCTGTATAAATTCTCATTTTGTACTAATTTATATTATGAATTGCATGATGTATTAAAAGTATTTTTAATAAATCTTTTTTGAAGAATTTTTATCCATGTTATCTCAGGTCCGTACTTTTTTCCATTCTAATCCTTTGGTATTATATTTATCTATCAGACCAATGGGATTAATTTCTAGCCATCATTGTATATGTCAAAATCACTTTAATATATATGAAACAAGTTTTTCATTTTTTTTAGTAGTTGCTAATCTAATCTAGATTTCAATTTTCGCTTTGCCTTCTATCAAATGCAAAAGATTTAAATGGTGAAATAGTTGCATATTAGTAAACCTTAATAATACTCTAAAACTTTATTTTTTTTAGTTAGGAAAAATCCATGTTCTTAAAAAGGAAAAAATATAGACTTGACTGGTCCTAATCATTATACTTATTCCATCATCATTAGCATTATTCAAACTAATTGTAATCGGCTCTATGCATCCTTATTTTGCATTAATAAATGTTAGGATTTTGCATTAATAAATGTTAGGTATTTCATGAGGCATTAAACCTATTTTTCAAGCATCTTTTTGGAGAATTTCTACCCATGTTATCTAAAATCTATCACTTTTCCATCCTAATCCTGAGATATTAATTTTATTTCCAGTCTAATGGGTGTATATTCTACCCTTAATTGTATATTTCAACTCTCTTAAATATAATTTCAACAATCCTCTTTCTTTAATAGAAACTATTCCATCCACCTTTCAACTAGATTTCAAATTAGCCTTTTTTTTCTATCAAATTAACAAGATTTAAAAGGTGAACAAGTCACAAATTGGAAATCATTATGATCGTAACCAGACCCTAAACACTATAGAAACTTATTTTTGTTCTTTAAGAAAAATTCACTTTCTAGAAAGATAAAATTATTGACTTCAGCCATAGTGAGTTAGTTGACATCCAATGAAAGCTGACTTTTACTAATATCTGCATTTCTAGAGCCAAAAAACTCTAATGGATGATGAAGGGGACGATAGATCTTCATGGAGCATTATGTGATTGAAGTTTAGAAAGTGAAGCTATGTCTAAGAGATGGGGATTGGATTGGCTCGGCGATAGGCGCAGATCATGGTGGAGGATATGAGATTCTAAGCGACAGGACAAATTGGTGGTTGGGTTGTCTTAATTTGGATGGACTAGTGTGTGGGTGGACTTGAAGGAGGAAAAAGGGGCCTAGGCTGCATGCTTAACAAAAGAACCCAAAGAAGAAACTAGAAAGCGTCGGATATAAGGGAAATAGAGTGGTAGAGGAAGATGAAAAGAAAAAGAAAGATCAAATTACAAAAGATGGCTAAGAGATAAGAACCAATTTGGAGGGGAGAGTGTTAGGAAAGCAACAACCAAACTTTTATGCACAAGTAACTACTAGAAGCAAGCATGAGGAAGCAAATAAAATAAATCTACAACTAAAAGAGGGAGAGAAAATTTAATTCACTATAAGAATCCACGCAAATAATTAAATGAAAGGAGTACAAGAAAACACTTGTCCAAAACCAAATGCATACAATCTCATCACAAGAAAAGACTAAAAATCCAAAACAAAGTAGGGTAAAAAACCATAAAAAGTATTTCCTTTGACTCAACAATGTAGCCATAAAAACTATCATCATTGCCTTCATTCAAATTAATTGTGATAGGCTGTATAAATTCTCATTTTGTACTAATTTATATTAAGAATTGCATGATGTATTAAATCTATTTTTAATAAATCTTTTTTGAAGAATTTCTACCCATGTTATCTCAGGTCCGTACCTTTTTCCATTCTAATCCTTTGGTATTATATTTATCTATCAGACCAATGGGATTATTTTCTACCCATCATTGAATATGTCAAAATCAAGTAAATATATTTGAAAGAATCCTGCTAATCAAATCTAGATTTCAATTTTCACTTTGCCTTCTATCAAATGCAAAAAATTTAAATGGTGAAATAGTTGCATATTAGTAAACCTTATGATCTTAACAATACTCTAAACCTTTATTTTTGTTATTTAATAAAATTCCATATTCTAAATAAGGAAAAAATATAAACTTGACTGGTCCTAATCATTATACTTATCCCATCATCATTAGCATTATTCAAACTAATTGTGATCGGCTCTATGCATCCTCATTTTGCATTAATAAATGTTAGGTATTTCATGAGGCGTTAAACCTATTTTTCAAGCATTTTTTGGATAATTTCTACCCATGTTATCTAAAATCTATCATTTTTCCATCCTAATCCTGTGATATTAAATTTATTTCCGGTCTAATGGGTGCATTTTCTACCGTTAATTGTATATTTCAACTCTCCTAAATATATTTTCAACAATCCTTTCTTTAATAGAAACTATTCTAACCACCTTTCAACTAGATTTCAAATTAGCCTTTTTCTTCTATCAAATTAACAAGATTTAAAAGGTGAACAAGTTACAAATTGGAAATCATTATGATCCTAACCAGACCCTAAACATTATAGAAAACTATTTTTATTCATTAAGAAAAATTCATTTTCTAGAAAGATAAAACTATCTACTTACAGCCATAGTGAGTTAGTTGACATCCAATGAAAGCTGACTTTTACTAATCTCTGCATTTCTAGAGCCAAAAAACTGTAATGAATGATGAAGGTGACGATAGATATTTATGGAGAATTATGTGCTTGAATGTGATTGAAGTTTAGAAAGTGAAGCTGTGTCTAAGAGATGGGGATTGGATTGGCTCGGCGATAGGCGCACATCATGGTGGAGGATATGAGATTCCAAGGGACAAGACAAATTGGTGGTTGGGTGGACGTGAAGGGGGGAAAAGGAACCTACGCTGCATTTTTAATAAAAGAACCGAAAGAAGAAACTAGAAAGCTTTTGATAACAGGGAAATATAGTGGTAGAGGAAGATGAAAAGAAAATGAAATATCAAATAACAAAAGATGGCTAAGAGATAAGAGCCAATAGCCAATGTGGAGGAAGGAAAGCAACAACCAAACTTTTATACACAAGTAACTACTAGAAGCAAGTATGAGGAAGAAAATAAAATAAACCTACGACTAAAAGAAAGGAGAGAATTTAATTCACTATAAGAATCCACACAAATATTTAAATAAAAGGGGTACAAGAAAACGCTTGCCCACCAAATGCATACAATCTTATCTAAAGAAAAGACTAAAAATCCAAAACAAATAAATGTGAATAAACAAGAGAGAGATTAAACAAAGATCTAAAGATAAAGAAGATTAAACAAATACCGAAAAACTACACATTTAAAAGTTTAAATTTTACCCTGCCATATGTCCATCAAATCGTCAAAAAATTATTGGCATTAATTATTCTTCCATCACACCAAGACAATAATCTACAATAATATAAAAGAATATTTTTCCATCTCTCGCACTCATTTTCTCTCACTCTACCCACTATTCCCTCAACCTTCATTTGTTAACATGCAGCCAAAAATATTCCCTCAAATTCCTTCACAATAACACATTCATAGCTCATGCATTGCATTATGCGCAAGCTGCTCGAGCACACAACCGTTATTCATAACAATTTTTTGAACTAAGTAATAGACTTATCATTAAAATCACTTGAGTTTAATTAAGTGCTCATACCAACAAATTAGAGTAAAAAAACCATAAAAAGTATTCCCTTTGATTCAATAATGTAACCATAAATTTTATATCTATATGAAGTGTTGAGATTTGGAATAGAGCACCACAATTTTATTGATTGAAAAATGGGTATTTAAACTCAATGGCGATAAGCACAACAAAGGAAAGACATAAAACAAAATAAAATAAATAGGAAGGAATAAAACAAAATAAAGTAAAAATGCAAGAAATAATAAGCAAATAGGCAAGAAATAATAAGTAATAACGGCTAGGGATTTGAATGACGTTATAAATCTAATACTCCCCCTCAAGTTGAAATATAGATGTCAATTATGTTCAACTTGGATTTGAAGTCATCAAATAAAGGTCGAGGAAGATTCTTCGGGAGGATATCCGCTAGTTGACCACTGAAGGGTATAAAAGGCACACAAATTTCCCTTGACTCAATATTTTTCTTAATGAAGTGTATACCAATCTCTACATGTTTGGTACGATCATGCTGGACTGGATTGTGAGCAATGTTGATGGCGGTCTTATTATCACAGAATAGTTGCGGTGGGACGGAGGTCAACATACAAAGTTCACGGAGCATGATTCAGCAAACGCAGATTGTTTTTTGCTTTTCCATGGACCGACTCGCAGGTAGATATTATTGAGGATGTGTTCAAAGCTGCGTGTCGAATATTTACGTCTCTCGATTGACAAACGAGTCTTTGTTATTTTGTGGCTCTCAGATTTGTGGATTATAGTGAATATGTTTGATTTGTGTATTTTCAAGACAATGATATGTGCAAGATTTTCTCATAAAAGTAGTGCATGTTGTGCAAAATGTTTGCTTTTCTTTATACTTGCACAGTTTTTTTTTTCTTTTATTTCAATAAGCAGTTCTTTTATTTCAATAAGCAGATTTTTCATAGCATATTACCCTAACAAATCATTTATTCGGGATGGATCGGCGACAACACCAGAAAAGAATGGCTGCGGCGATTGCTATATTGTTGTTGGAATAGTACCGCTCCATCACTATCCAAACACGACGCATGAAGTCGTTCTTTATTGGGGGTAAATGGGTTGGTGAGATGCTCGTGGACATCCAATCAGGTTCAGCAACGTATTTTGCATGAGCATACCCATTTTTTGGAAGAAAAAAATGGGTACGCTACTGTGGGTGTTTGCATTCTCACGTACTCAAAGATTGGAAGCGAGTCTTCATCAAATATATCACCTCACATATTGGTATGATGAGATTGATTTGGAATGGCACCAATTACACACACAACAACACCTATATATATAAATATTCATTGCTTATTTTCCTCTCTTTTCTGACTTTAATCATATTCAATGAATGTATCCGTAACTTTTATAATGCTCCCTGAACTCTGGATGACAATTTTAGATTTCTATTGAAAAAAGGTAGGCAAGTTACTGTAGATTTCTATGGAAGCAGCAGTTATCCACAAACACAATGACCCAAGGTGCAATAACCCTGCTGCTTGAGAACTCTGGATAACATTTTTTTTCCTCCTGATTTTAATATTTTATGGGCAGTGAGATGCATACCACCTAATTCTTATGTATTCACATGTTTAACACTTAAAATTTACTTTGAACATTAAAGACATCGAAATTTTTAGTAACATATTAAAAATACCACCATTTTAACATTAATGTCAAGTATGGAGCAGCTTGGATGGCCACTAAAGTTTGTTGTTGGCAACCGTTGCTTCCACACTTTGGTAGTTTGAGAAGTGCTTGATTGATTCTTTCTACAGTATTGGAAGCACCTGTCTGGTGATTGATCGAGACTAATCTGAGCATCTCTTGTAATTTCTCTTTCATGTTGGGATTTTTAATTGATAAATTTAAAATCTGATATATACATGCTCTTGTTCTGATAATTTTATCATCCGTTTTGACATATAAGTTAATGGAAATTAACTTGATGCTGAAATATAGTGCTTTGTTGTAACATTACTGCTTATTCTATTTCTTTAGTAGCTTCTTTACCATTCTTCTTAACAAATTCTTCAGGCAGTGCTGCAAATGCATTCTATACCAGAAATTTTATTTGCAGAAGTTTGTGTTATTGTTGATAAGGTTGGATTCATTCAACTAATAAAACTCAGGACTTTTGTGTTTACTTCTTGAAAGCCACATGGTTTATTGAAGGTGCATTTAAATACATACCACACAATTCTTGTTTATTTACATATCTAACGCCAAAACTTTCATAATTACATATAGAACACTCAAATGTTTGACATCACATAAAAAATATCACTATCACTAACTTTTTAAAAGTGAAATTCACATTTTTGTGCATAGCTTTTTAATACCAAGAAGTTATAAATGCGAATATGAAAGTTTAGGCGTTACATATGTAAATATATAAGATTTCCTGATGCTCACTATTAGGTGAGGTGTATATCATTTTTTGCACTGTTATGAAAGAGTTTTATTGGTTCCAAAATATCTAATGTGTAGCCATTGCAATTTTGTTATAAACAGCATAAATGATGTGTGCTAGATTGGTCATTTATCCAAAAAAAACTGCAAATCAACAAAACAGCTGCAAATCAGCTGTTTTCAAATCGCACAAACCAACAGTTAAACAACTAATCCAGGACAGAGGTATAATGGTCATTTATCCAGAATCAGTTGTTTTTCCAAACGCACAAACCAAACAGCTGGTCAGGATAAGTTGTTGATCAGCATATTATTAGGAAAAGTTGGATAAGTTGCAGCCTCCCTAAACAGACCCTTAGTAACGAGTCAAACACGAGCTATTCGCGAACAACGAGCTTTTTAAACAGTCATATTCATGATGTAGAAGGTAGGGACAAGCTCTGTGTTTTAAAAACAAGTTTGCCAAATTGCAAAGCTACATAAAATAACAGAAACAAAAGACAACCAACCAACTAGAACATGATTGAAAATGAAGAACAAAGCTTAACTTTGCATTCTTTCAATATAAGGAAACTTGCTATTAAATAAAATAGGGGCATATACATAAATACAAACCAATTCCTATGTACTTACATATCTAACATCAAAACTTTAACGTTTACATTTATACCACCCAAATCTTTCATATAATATAACCAAAACAACTATTTTAAAATTTGAAAAGTGAAATACACCTTTTCATGCATAGATAAGTTCGCATACACGTAAACATTGAAGTTTAGGTGTTAGATATATAAATACATAGGAATTGGTTGGTACGTATGTAAAACTTCTAATAAAATATATTAAAAAATTGCTCAAAAACAAAATCATTTCCTAGTTACCAGTCATGCAAAAGGTTTCCTGTGACACGTGCTCTTAGAGAGGAGCTCTTATCACGGGACTTGCTTCCAGTAATGTACAGAAGTAGAGTAACCTGGAATAAAAGAAATTAAAAATATAATAAATAGCATAGACAGAAAAATGTATATTCACTATTTCCATTTAAAACTCTTCAAAATTTTCATAGGCATTCAAGCTGTGATAATGCATTAATTCATGTATATGAAAGCATTAGTGAAGGCGTCACAAAAAACTGAATATATCAGTTTGCTCTTTTTGAATTATGAGACATTAAATATGCTAGATTATTCATGGGACTTAACATGTGATGGCATGCATGATAATGGACAAAATAAAAATGATACTTTGAGAAGTTATCAAATGAGAGTAAGAGACTTTTAAAAAAGATAAATATTTTTAAAAGAAAAATAAATAAATTCATTTAGCATAAGAAAGTAGGCCTAGGCAATGCATGTAAAAATAATTTTAACAATTCTAGCAAAAGAATCAGATCAATAATAAAAGTATCATCCTTTTTATATGAAATTAAAACTCTTAAAGATAGAAATAATATTATTACAAACCTTTTAATAATTAGGAAGTTAAAGTTCATAATTTAATCTTTTAAATTAAAAGGGAGAAAAATACCGTGAGTAATAATTAAAACATAAAATATTCTTATTAAATTAAAAATACTAAATTTATTAGATAAGCATGACTTTGCTTTTTCTAGGGGTTTTAACATTTAAATATAAAATACTTCTCCCACCCCACAACCAAAAAAAAAAAAAATTAAGGGGCCATTTAGAATCACTTTTTTTTTATATTTCTTTTTTAAGTTTTCATTTGAAACAAAACCTTTTTAATAAATTAAAAGATAAAATAAGATTACTTTTAAAAGCACTCAAAAAATCTAATAGTTGTTTTGAGTGCTTTAAAATCATGATAATTTTTTAGAATAACAAAATAAAAACATGTAAAAAACAAGCTAAACAAACATGCTTCTAAATGCAAAAGAAAAAAAACAAAATTGATCCCAAAGAAGCCCTAAGAAAGCCCCATTTTGAAATTAAAACATTCTTTTTCTTTCTCCATTAAAATTTAAATTATATTTAAAAGTTGCTTAAAACTTTTAATAATTAAAATTTAAAAGGGAGAAATTTTTTTAATTTGATTTATATTGATTAAGGAGATATTAAAATAATTAAAATATTACATAGTATGTAAATAAAATTAAGTAGATTAAAAAAATAATAATAAGATTGAGTAGATATTATATGGATTAGACAGAAAGGACTTAACAAGCTTTTCTATAATTTATAGCCTTAAATAGAAAATGATAATCCATCCCTATAAAAAAATAAACAAGTTGAGAGATCTCCATTTTGAATGGGGGCCTCTCCTTATGTTAGACTATGAAAATAATAGACAATCTCGCTCTTTGAGGCTTACTATGTAATATATGCCTACCAAATGTTGATCCAGAAATAGTGTCGTTGATTTAACTCGTAAGAATATGCATAAAACTAACACTTTAGGTCCATATATGAAACTTGTTGAGATTTGAAGAGCTGTAAAATGTATTGGAGAAGTTTAGCTTAAAATCTTCGTAATAAAAGTTTACAGACTAACAAGATACAAAATGAATGAAGAACAAATATTTTGACACAACTATGTGCAGGAGAGGAGTTTTGAATTCAGGTAATTATAGGAGAAATTGAACAAATGAGCCTTAAAAATAAGTAATGTGAGAGAGTAATGAAACATATGCTAATAAAATTAATGTTTGCATCAAAAAATTAATTTAACTCTTGCTATGAAGATCCATTATAGAGTCTATTTTTTGTATTAAAGCAAGTATTGAGAAAAAATAAAGATTATCACATGGCTTTAATTGATCTTAAGAAAGAACATATAAAAAGTATGATGATAATTAAAATATTGCAAATTAAAAAAGAATGCATGCCAAAGAGATAATGATGTTATTATATCTTAGAATGATCAAACCTTAAGCTAGCATTAGAAGCAATGGCAGATGTGACAAAAGCATTTAATTATAGTAGGATTACATAAAGGGGAACACTAAGTTTATATCTTCTGGCTTTGGTTATATAAGTGCTTATAAATTATATTCAAAATGAGGGCATGGTGTATATTCTTTATAAATGAAGTTTGCTCATTTGAATTGGGACAATAAACTCCAAGACTGTATTTTCTTTTCATTTTCAAGTGCAAAATACGAAAAAGAGAATGCTTGGAAACAAGTTCAAGTTGAATTCAGGTAATTATAGGAGAATTGAACAAACGAGCCTTAAAAATAAGTGATGTGAGAGATTAATGAAACATATGCTAATAAAATTTATGTTTGCATCAAAAAATTAATTTACCTCTTCTATTAAGGTCCATTATAGAGTGTATTTTTGTTATAAAGCAAATATTGAGAAAGAACATTGAAAAAATAAAGATTATCACATGATTTTAATTGATCTTAAGAAAGAACGTTCAAAAGTATGATGATAATTAATATATTGCAAATTAAAAAAAAAATGCATGCCAAAGAGATAATGATGTTATTATATATTAGAATGATCAAACCTTAACTAGCATTAGAATCAAAGGTAGAGTGACAAAAACATTTAATTCTAGTAAGATTACATAAAGGGGGACATTAAGTTTATATCATCTGGCTTTGGATATATAAGTGCTTATAAATGGATATATAAGTGCTTATAAATTATATTCAAAATGAGGTTCATGGTGTGTATTCTTTATAAATGAAGTTTGCTCATTTGAATTGGCGCAACAGACTCCAAGCCTGTATTTTTTTTCATTTTCGAGTGCAAAATACGAAAAAGAGAATGCTTCCAAACAGGTTCATGTTGATCTACTTAACCAAGTTGCTTCTTTCAAACATTGTATATCTAGAACCAAGATATATGATAGAATATAAGGACACCTCTAGAAATCGTTTAGAAATTTCAACAAATCACTAGCAAAAATGGCACTTTCACCAGTTTTTGAATGCTAAATTGTTATATTTAAAACAAAAAAAAAAAAAAAAGGGAAGCAAAAAGGAAAAAACAGGGAAGCAAAAAGGAAGGGGACATTTACATACATACCACCCAATACCTATGTATTTACATATCTAGCCATCTTGCCTATGCATGAAAAGGTGTATTTTAGTTTTTAAAAGTTAAAAAAGAGGCATTTGAATTGGCGCAACAGACTACAAGCCTGTATTTTTTTTCATTTTCAAGTGCAAAATACGAAAAAGAGAATGCTTGGAAACAAGTTGATGTTGATCTACTTAACGATGTTGCTTCTTTCAAACATTGTATATCTAGAACCAAGAAATATGATAGAATATATGGACACCTCTAGGAATCGTTTAGAAATTTCAAACATTCACTAGCAAAAATGGCACTTTCACCAGTTTTTAAATGCTAAATTGCTATATTTAAAACCAAAAAAAAAAAAAGAAAAAAAAAAACAGAGAAGCAAAAAGGAAGGAGACATTTACAAACATACCACCCAATACCTATGTATTTACGTATCTAGCACTTAAACTCTACCCTTTACAATCATACCACCCAAATCTCTTATATCACATCAAAAATACCTCTTCTTTAACTTTTAAAAGCTAAAATACACTTTTTCATGCATAGGCAAGATGATTTATACGCAAAATTTGAAGTTTAGGAGTTAGATATGTAAATACATAAGAATTAAGTGGTATGCATTTAAATCTTCCAAAAAGAAATTACTGCCTTTGCGTATTAGTTTTGTGAACCATGTGGAGTAGAAGTCATAAATGGTAACGATGCAAGCATACAAAATACATTGCTCCTTCAAACAAATGAAAACTACACAAAAGATGATAAGAAGATAAAAATGTGGTACATAATCAAGTTAAATCAGGATGGTAATATCATAATATGAAATGAAACTTATTGTGATAAACTTACAATCACACTGAATATAAAAGTGATTGAAAACAGCTGGGCTCCCTTGTCAGCTATGACCTGTAGCAAAACAAAACACCGGGCTATTATTTGCATGACAACAATTAATTTTATCTTTTTTCTTTACATACTAAAAATTTTGTTGACCCAAGAACCCAATTTATGCAAAAAAAAACTTCTTGAGTAATGCTAGAAGTTGATTATTAGTTGGGATGCCAATCTTATCTGCCTTTCAAGTTAGGCTCATGCACTGGTAACTGGTAAAAACAACAAACTTAGCATGCAGTGTCAACAAGAACATTACCCAAAGGCAATTTCACAATGTATGAACCATGAACAATCCAATCATGGAACTAAAAACAAAAAATAACTTCACAGATGGTTAAGGCCCATGTTCAGGCAGAAATTTGAATGACAGAATTTTTTCCATTCAAAATTGAAGTGGCAATAGGGAAGCCTCAAGAAGGCATTGTTTTCGGAAAAAATAAGTTTGCATGGGTTTAAAATTTTTAATTTGCATGGTGTTCCAAATTTATATGCACGCAAAACATGAAATGGACAGTATATTGCATTATGACCCCAAGTCAGACACAAGTGCAAGTGGCATTTTAAAAATGGAACTAAATTAGACAAATTATATTTGAGTTTCATAATGTAGAAACGTATGCAAATCAATTACTCAAATTGATGAAGACAGTAGTTGAAGATGCATTTCTTCAGAACCCAAACAATGACTATTGTGTAAAATTTGGGAGAGAAAAAAAATTGCAGGAACTAAAAGTCTTTTTTTTTTCTTTCAAATAATGAATACAATGCTAATCATTGTCGTATCTTTCAGAGAAAAGTTTCCTCTCACAGCCTTTGAACTTTCCACCCTATAGAAAGCGGATGATCCAAGTCTCTCATCTTTTCTTAAAGGGAAAAAAAACACACAAATTCACTTCTTGCCATCTCCACATGCTCCTGGCTGCACCACCAACCCCCAAACTCCCGACCCTTTATAGCTGTTGAAAGCCTTTGATGAATCCAAGTTTCTTGGATCATTATTTTCAAACAATGAGCTATCTATGTTCCCCTTACAATGAAGGAAGCACTTCTTATTCATATCCTCCACCTACTTCTCCCTTCGCCCTTCCCCTTACCCTTTCAAGATTTTATTTTTTCTTTAAGAGAACATAATCTTCGGCCTAAAAAAAGTTCATGGTTGCAGCACTTAAAGATTGAAATAATCAATCTTTTAATTTTCCTAATTAGTTGTGGGTGTTTTATGAATCCTCGTTTTTCATTCACTTTTGTTAAATGCTACATGAGGCTGCTAAATTTATCCTTTGCAAATCAATTTGAATAACTTTTATCCAAAAAACCCCCCAATTATTAATCCCAATATATTATTTTATCTACTCAACCAATGATGTATGTTAGCATGTTATCTTAGCTTGCAAAGATTAATGGAGTAAATCTTAAAAGCAATACTAGGGGACACCTTGTTATGTGTGTTCTAGTGTTCTCCTTGTGCATTGCTTTCCGTGAAAGGTAAGGAGGGCATGGCTCATATCCTACAATAACAAATGTCAATACCAATTTGTTCAATGTGTTTCAAAATGATTGAAACAATCAAAACCCTGAAATTTCTGAAATCGACAAGAAAGAAGAAAAAAAAGTTGGTCAACTCTAAACCAACCACGAGGGAAACCAAATTAAATCAATACATGAATCAATTTCCCTTGAGACTAAAAACAATAATTCAAAGTTTGAAGAAATGAGAAATGATATAGAATTTTTTTGTGTAATTCATCGAAGATCATGTATCTCTGTTTATAAAGCAAGATTCTTAATTAAATTGGTAACTTCTGCCCATGAAAACTACTAAATAAATAGTAATCATATGACTAAAGATTCTAAGCAAACATTTACAAGGATTTGCTAAGCTTTTTATATTTGAAACTATGGAAATAAGAAAATTCGTTTACAACTAATACACATTTATTTCCCCAATGAATCGCCAATTTACAATCCCACGGATTGCTAAGGTGGCCTAAAAAAGCACCATCAATCCTTAAGTAGTAGTGTATATATTTTTGTTGAAATATAGGAGGATTGGCTTCCCTATTAATAGGAGACAATTTGGGAAACCCTTTGACTAGTTTTATTCTCTTCATATTTATATTTATTTAGAATTAATTATTTTAAATAGAACGGACTGGTTTACCAATATATGTAATGTCAGGTTTGAAGTTTGAATAATAAGAATTATGAGAATTCCCTCTCAAATTTTCGGACGAGTAAAAAAAAAATAAATGTTTATATAATCACATGTCCTGGGTATGTTATACCCAACATTTGTCGAAATCTCTCATGTTCTCTCATTCATATATTATAATCCCATGTCAATGTCCATGCTTCACAATAATAAAGAGAATATGAGGTGTGATTATTATAATAGATTTTTTACTGTCAAAAATGTCATGACAAAGATTAAGAAAATTCAAAACAAGTCATACGGTTTTAAGGTGAGTATTTGCACTTTTAAATTATAGTATTTAGTTCTTCTAAATCAGATACGCTCTATTAATTGTGTATATAGATTTTATACTGCAATACTAAAATCAAAATGATTTATCTACTATTTAAGTTCATTTGATCATATTGAATTTTTATGTCACAAATATTTGTATATGTCCATTAAATGTATAAGTCAAGATATTATATTATGAAAAGAAACGAAAAATGAGATCAATTATTTTAATTGTTTGCATATGCATGCTTGGCAATAATAGAATCACTTTTTTATGGTACTAACGGGGGAATGCTAATATACTCGTGCACGTAAACGAAAAGGGTTATTGATATTGAAGTATCTTAGTTACTACAAATTTATAAGCGGTGCTCTTGAAACGGTTGTATACAAAATAAAAAGATATTCATATGTAAATGATACAATAATGCATGGTGAATGTTTAGAATTACATTAAATGATAATATTAGATAGTACAAACTTATAAATGTTCTTAGATTGATTTACATAAAGTTTAACTGGCATGCATGTTATTCTTTTTTCATTGTATTAATATAATTTAGGAGTATGAGTATTTACTGGCTACGATTAGCTCGTTGTTGTTTTAAACTAACATTTTGATTGTTTGTATGCCCATGATTGGCTATGATGATTACCATTTATTTTACTAATGAGAAAATGTTAAGGTACCTGATCATGAAAATAAAAAAGAATATTGATATTGAAGTATCTTATAACAACAAGATTTTATCTCACCAATTGGGGTCTGCTACATGAATCCTTTTTCTCCACTGTGTCCTATTGAGTGTCATATTTTCATTTAGTTCTAGAATTGAAGTACCTTAACTGATACAAATTTTTAAACGGTGCTCATGTGACGATTATATACAAAATAAAAAGATATTTATATGTAAACAATGCAATAAGACGTGATGGTTTTTAGAATTACATTTAATGATCATATTAGATAGTATAAACATTCAAATGTTCTTAGATTGATTTACATAAAGTTTAATTGACATGCATATTATTCTCTTTTCATTGTATTACAATAATTTAGAAGTATGAGCATTCAATCACTATGGTTAGCTCACTGTTGTTTTAAGCTAATATTTCAAGTTTACTTCAGTGATTAAAAAATGAGCAAAAGAAGAAGGAATATTTATTGAAGGCACAGATACATTTATTTGTATAGTTTTAATTCACTTTTTTTAATGGCTCTTTCATTTGTTAAATGTTAGTCATAAAAAATTTTAATTTCACCATCCAACCGTTTATACCCGTTTTGATTAATTCAAAGCTCAGGCTGATTCATGACAAAATAAAATATCTTAGGATTATAAGTATCATAATTTTAGTAAATCACATTGATAATTAAAAGTATCATATTCTGGCAATGTGAAACAGTGCATAGATTAATTTATATTATATTAGTTATATAATGTCACTTAATAATAAATTATAAGAATGCTCATGCATTTTGGGACATAAGACAAACGATCACACATTGATGAACTGAATTATTCTAAAAGACAACCGCTCCAAATTGCTAAAACTAACCAAGTTTGGTTTTAGATTTTCAAATCCAAATAAAACATTTAATTCAGAGCTCAAGTAGCATGTGATGCCAAGAGTGGAATGCTTAATAGAATATAAAGTGCTATTTTGGAAGATTTTATAAAATAAACTGTAATTTAGGATTGGGGCATTTACATACATACCACGTAAATCTTATGTATTTACTTATCTAACATCTAAACTTTATTTTTTACATCTATACCACCTAAATCTTTCATGTCACGTCAAATTATCATCATTCTAACTTTTCAAGTGTGAAATACACCTTTCATGCATAAAAAAGGTGCCATATATGTAAAAATTAGAGTTTGGGTGTTAGATATGTAAATACATGGAAATTTGAATGCCGGTCTGGTAAAATATTCAGGGATCAATGATGAGGTGAAATACCGTTGGAGATACAAACTTCATGATAATGCCAATCCCTAAAAGAGCCATCAATACAAATAGTGAAGCTAAACCTGAGAGAAAAAAATAACAAGAAAAGTAAAGAAAATTCCCAAATCATATATAATAAATTCAACAAGCAGGTGGAATGTACAATTCACTTTGGAAAAGAATAAATTCTATTACAAGAATTATCTATTAGAACTTATAATTGAAAGGTTCATGCCATATAAAATGCAATAAAAAATACAGATGAAAGCGGAGGTAGTCCAGTTAGGGGCAAAATTCATAATTTTTATTCACTAGCATTTACATAAATAACACCCAATTCTGATGTATTTACATATCTAACACCTAAATCTTACTTTTTACATTTATGCAATCCAAATCTTTCATATCACATCAAAAATAACACAATTCCAATTTTTAAAAAGTGGTAAACACCTTTTCATACATAGGTAAGGTGGCATGCATGTAAAAAATTGATGTTTATGTGTTATATATGTAAATACCTAAGAACGGAGTGTTATGTATGTAAATCTTCCTTCTTAAAATTACATGAAAATAAAAAGATCAGTGAAAGCCATGAATATTGAACAGCTAAGATGATATTGTTAGAATTTTCTTAAGTAATATCCTACGCCCATGTCTTGACAATGCCAAGCACTGAAACCCAGACATGTTTGTCCAGCAAGCTACATTTTAACTATCAGGAGCATCAGGACAAAAGATTTTAGGAAATGCATCAAAGCAGTAGGATCAAAAAAGGATGAAATGCAATTTTGATTTTCCTAATTGGCAGAAGGTTTACAAAGATACGATGCATTTTAAGTTTGCATCAGTGCAAACATAAATACATAAAATCAACCATAATAATGTTTATTGATTAAGTATGACTTCCATGGATTACATTAGAACCTTACTAGCAGTATTAGCAAAAAGGGAAAAAGTAAGAGAAAGAAAGAGAGGATTTAAGAGTGAAAAACTACGTGAGTTCACAATAGTTGGTTCACATACAAAATAATTGTGTAAACCGAGCTCTCCGCATGACCGCCTATTTTAGGATTTGGGCTGGTGTTTGAGTAATACTGAAATGCTACATATCGAGTTACATGAATAAAAAAATAACACAATAAATTCCATTAGTTGCTTGTTGTAAAATACAATAAGCATGTAGTCTGATTTCATTAGAATTGAGTACTCATAATTGTAGCAAACTTGTTAGACGTCGCCGATCTTCCTTGATGACACAAATCTTAAACTATTAGGCTTGAGTCATAACAAATATACTAAACTACAGCAAGTTCACCGTGAGTTAGACAAGTTCATAATGACTTCACCTAGTTAGGGCAATTTCACATAAGTCTGTCTAAGTTCGTACTAATCAATGAATTATTATCAATCTAGGTGAGTGAAAGCTTTTAAAGCTTCGAAAAATCAGATTTGCATTTAGTTCATTGATTCCCTTATAATAATAGATATCATATTTTTAAATAACAATATCATTATTTTCTCATTTCCCTTCCTTTGAAAGATTTTCACCTCGCCTTGAAGTTCATTGTTCACTTTGAAAAATTAGTTGATAAAACATTTTATGTAAATTGCGAAACTTATTATGACATTTAAGGAAAAATAATATCCATATTGTTCGAAGTACTCTCCTCAGTAGAAGTCCTAGTAGTTTGTGTATTATCAATGGAAGAACTAAGTTTAACAATAAATAGGGGTTTGCATTTGGCCAATTTAAATAGTTTGGTTAACAAATTGGCTAAACTAATTGATTTGATTATAAGTTCAAAAATTCAAACCAACCAAAATAGTTTCCAAACCAAACTTTAAGTTGGTGAGATCAGTTTGGTTTTGTATAAATCAGCATATTATTAATTTTAACAATGAGCCTAATTATATTAAGGTTAAATAACCTGCATGAAGAACAATAAGAAATATTTTTATTAGATTTTATAATTTTGGCATGTGACAAATAATATCGCCAATGATCTTTTGTTGTTTCTTAATTTATAATTTTATTGATTTAATATTTCAAATTTTTTGTATGATTCCATGTTTGATTTAATAAATTTACGAAAGTAAAAAACCAAATCAATAAACAAATTAATACTTCAACAAGTGAAACAAAGCAACCAAATAAAATTGGTTTGGTTCAATTTTTAGTTTTGTCCAAACAATGCACACCCCAAGCAATAGGCCTTTGTGTGAGAGTGGGATTACATTATCTTGTGGACTTGAGAAAAGACATTATCCCCTTTTACTTCTCCGCAAAGAAGACATAGCGGAAAGCATTCTAACATGTCTTGATTAGTACTCCATTCCTTGAATGCCAAAGTTCAAGCTTTAGCTCTGATGCCAAATTTGATCTAACCTTGGTAAGAGTGGTTGGCAAAAGCTCTAATTAATGGAGGGGTTCTTTAAAGAGAATGACAGTACTAGAGATGGCTGTAGGAATGAAGTGGTAGAGGTGGCTAGTTAAGGAAGATGGCAATTATCTTAAAATGGTGCCTAAACTTGAGAGCACCAAGATTAATTTAGGATTTTGATGAAAAGACGCAAGGGTTTTTTCTTGGATAAAATAGCTTATGAAATGTTATGTTAGTATATGGAGAAATGTTATAAAGTTTATGGCCCGATGGCTTAGGTCCAGTAGGTTAGTGACACAAAGGAGGTTGAGGGTTTCTTGATGGGCTTCAATCCTTTGCATGGGAGTCCGAGGGTTTTGATTGATCCTAGGGATGTGTAAGTGTGTAGGGTAGATGAAAATAATGTTGAGGTAAATATTGGGATGAAAGATAAAGATTCATTGTTACCAAAGATTAAGCACTGACCAGACACCAAGCCCAATGCCCAGAGAAAAAGATTTACTCATTTTTTTGTGAATAATGTCAACATTTCTTTCATTTCATAACCAACAATTATTTAAACTATTACACAATAATCTTGAGCATTTAAAACTGTGCAAAGTAAGGAGAGAGGATGTCAGCGGGTCAAAACTGGGAGTGGATAGAACCACTCTAACCATCTTAGTTTAAGCAAAATTTAAATTGATTTTGCAATAGCATTGGCTAACTCTGCTAGAACTCACCCTAATAACCCTAAATCAAAGCAACTAAACAGCTTTCAAAATCCAATTTGAAAATTAAAAATTAAAATTTTAAATTCAAATTACATTTTTTTCATAACATTTCTAACTTTTATGTTTCATGCACCAGCGCTTTGTAGTTGTTGGGCTCTAGGTTGAGACCTTATGAAGTATCTTTTCAATTCTCCATGATGTCTGCATCACGCCCATTTTATACTTCGAAAGTAAATCATATTGATGTAGTTGTGACTTTTGATTAATGAAATAAAAACAAGAATTTACAACAAACCCTAAGGAAGATTGTGACTTGCGAGTGCTAAAATAATAAAATAAAGATCACAAAGAAGGGAAAAGGAGAGAACACATAGGGCAAGAAGAGAGACGAAAAGAGACACAACTCCAAATCATAGACATGAATCACAGATTGGCAAAAGAAAAACAGCAGGTGAACATGAAATCAAAGTGATGCGTGTCAGAATGACCGAGATAGTAGAGTGATTATTTAACATCTTAGTCTTGCATAAAAATCTAATACACACTTGAGTAATTAAAGTAACAGGTAGAGATACCAGAAGTTTTTACAAGAAAAATACTGAAAATAATAAAATAAAGATCACAAAGAAGGGAACCATAGACATGAATCACGGATTGGCAAAAGAAAACTAGCAGGCGAACAGGAAATCAAAGTGATGTGTGTCAGAATGACCGAGATAGTAGAGTGATTATTTAGCATCTAAGTCTTGCATAAAAATCTAATACACACTTGAGTAATTAAAGTAACAGGTAGAGATATCATAATTTTTTACAAGAAAAATTCTGGAAATAAGAAAAAAAACGGGATCTGGCTCCGTTGAAATAATCCACTGTGCAATTGTGAGCACACGGGCTCACTCTTCTCCTAAGTTAGGGAATATGGAATTATAAAGTTGATCTATAATAATATTTCAACAATAACAGTGGTAACAGGTCGCAAAAATCGTGGCTGATTATTGTGGAGATAGTAATTCATTGAATGTTGCATTCAGTGGTTGAAGCGTCAGTTTGTCATAAAAGTTGAAGTTGAAAGTCATGACAGTATATGGTTTTGCGGCTCATAGATAGTTGTTTCAAGAGTGTCAGTTGACCACATAGATCATAGTAAGAAGCTAAAATAATGTTTGTGGGCCTCAGAGGCATGAGTTATGAGTTGCATGAGTTATGAGTCACGCAGACCATAATTGGTCACATAGATCATAGCGGAAGTCATAATAATGTTTGTAGGTCGCAGAGGTTAGAGTTGGGAGCTGCAAATGTTGTGATAGTGTTTGTATGTCACATAAGTCGAACTAGAGAGCTGCACGAGTTGTAATAACGTTTGTAAGCCCGAGAAGCTAAAGTTAGGAGTTGCATGAGCTGAGATAACATGCATAGGCCGCAAAGGCCAATGTTCGGAGTTGCATGTATTGAGATAACGCCTGTAAGCAGCAAAAGTCAGAGTTGAGAGTTGAATGGGCTGAAGTTGAGAATTATGAATTGTGATAACATTCGTAAGACGCAGTGGCCATATTTGGGAGCTGCATGAATTATGATAATGTCCGTAAGCCACAGTAATCGGAGTTGGGAACTATACGAGTTGTGATAATGTTCGTACACCTTAAATGTATGAGTTGTCATATTCATGAACTATGATAATGTTCGTAAGCAGCACGGGCTTGAAGTTGGGAGCCGCGTGAGCTGTGAAAAAGTTTGTGAGTTGTAGAAACTAGTATAGGGAGTTGCATGAGTTGTAGTAAAGTTCATAGTCCACAAAAGCCAGCATTATAAGTTGCATGAGTTGTAATAACATCTATAGAGAGTAGAGACCGGACATGAGAAACTGTGGTAACATCCGCAGGCCACAAAAATTAGAGTTAGGAAATACCATAACTGTGATAATGTTTGTAGGCCCCAGAAATCAGAGTTGAGTTGTATAAACTATGATTATGCTTGTAGGCCGCGGATGTCAGAGTTGAGAGCTGCATGAGCTGTGATAATATTTGTTTGTTGTAGAGTCCGAAGCAGAGACTTGTACCAGCTATGATAACGTTCTAGGCCGCAAAGGTCGGAATTGAGAGTCGCATGAGTTGTGGTAATGTTCGTAAGCCATAGAGGCCGAAGTTAGGAAATGCATGAATTGCAATAACGTCTACAGGCCGCAAAGACCATAGTTAAGAGCCGCAAGAATTGTGATTATATTTGTATGTCACAGAGGTTGGAGTTAGGAGCTGCATGAACTATGATAACGTATGTAAGACGCAAATGTCGGACTTGCGAGTTGTACAAGCTGTAATAACATTTGTAAGTCGCAAAAGCCGGAGTTGGGAGTTGAATGAGCTATGGTAACGTTCGTAGGTCACTGAGACCAGAGTTGGGAGCCACATGAGTTTTCATAACATTTGTAGGTAGGGTTGTCAAAACTGTTCGCTGTTCGCGAACAGCTCATGTTCGGCTCGTACGCTAAGTTAACGAGCTGAACACGAACAAAGATTTGCTCATTCGTGTTCGGCTCGTTTTAGCTTGAAATATTACTCATCAATTATATATATATATATATTATATATTGATGACTGGCATTTTTAAAAAATTTAATTGACTACGAGGCAACAAAGATTTATAATCAATTAAAAGTATTAATTAAAAAAATAGAATAAAAATTATTAAATTAGATTCAAATGATGTTTTAATATAAACAATAATTTTTAAATATTACCCAAATTCTTAATATCTTATAACTACGTAATTAGAGTTGTCAAAACGATTATTTGTTAGTGAACGGCTCATGTTCGGCTCATTTGATCGGCTCGCTAAGCAAATAAGTCGAACACAAACACACTTTTTGAGCTTGAAATATAAATGAGTCGAACACGAGCTGAGCCTGGGCTCGCTCCTGTTCGACTCGTTTACACCCCTATTTGTAGACCGCATAAGCTAGAGTTGGGAGTCGCATGAAATGTGATAATGTCCTTAAGCCGCAAAGATCGAAGTTGAGAGTTGAATGAATTATGATAATGTTCGTAGGCTAATCCATAAGTTATGATAATATTCGTAAGTCACCGAGGCTAGAGTTGAAAGCTTCGTGGGTTATGAGCTGCGCATGCAATAATCGGTCATATTCGTCTTAGTTGTGGGCCACAAGAAGAGAGTTTCAAAAGTCCGAAGAAAGTCATTGTATCTAAATTATGGTGGTTGTAAGTAGCTATTGTGGAGTGCATTATTGCAACATCTTCGAGAGGCATCGTTGCACCGTATCAAGGATACGTCATTGCGATGTATGTACGGCGTGCGTTGCACAATCTTTGGAATATTGTTATAAAGTCTTTGTGGTGCGTTGTTACAGTATTTTTTAAGTACATTATTACACCGTCTTCATATAAAGTCTTTGTGGTGCGTTGTTACAGTATTTTTGAAGTACATTATTACACCGTCTTCGGAGTGCATTGTTACACCGTCTTCGGAGTGCATTGTTACACCGTCTTCGGAATGTGTTGTTTAATATGATGTTTCGTTATTCTACAACATATATCGGGATTCTATAATGCACGTTCAGATTTTGCAAGGGGTTTTGTTGCACCGAGCGGAGGAAAATCGACAGCGACCAGTGATTGACTGTGGTCAACAATTACAGGAGTGAGTGACATTTGTTGAACGTTTGGTGTGAAACATTGGACCTCAACTTCTCCTCTAAGTCCTGGGCTTCCTCCAAATCAAGCTTTAGGTTTTTGTCCCCGTTTATGAATTGGAGTGGGATTTTATTTATAGATTTTGGAAGAAACATCCCTGCAAATAAAAAAGTAAATTGGATCACTCCATTGAACGACCTGAAGAGGTTCACTCGATTGGACAACATTTTATAAATATTTAAATGTCTTGTTGATGTTGGAATCAAGTGATCTTGTGCTCTTTGGATTCTTCATTTCGAGACACTCAATTTAACAATAAATTTACAGGATTTAGAATCTGTTTGACCTTCCAACTACACACTATAAGTTTCCAAAAATGTCTTATAAGATTGAAAAACTTGGATTTGGTGTCCCTTTCTACAAGGATTTTACCAATTTTGGTGTCACTGTGCTTGCCTCATCGAGCCTGTCGGTATGAATGTACATGTATTCAAATCGGAGTTTTGAATGATTTTTAGTTGAAATTTGAATGCTCTCTGATTAGTGTTGCAGCTCGAGATCCGTGCTAGATGATGAAAATTTGTGGACGGGGATATCACAAATGGGGAAGATGATGGATCAACTGGTGAAAAGAAGGCTAAGGGTAGGCAGGGTTGAATGTGCGCTTTGTTTTTCCTTCATTTTCCCCGTGAGCATAGATAAACCAATGCCAAATCCTGCTTAAATTCCGCTCAAATCCTACTAACAAGCAGCTCCTAAGGTTCCCTAACACAAAAGAACGGATCGATGGTGGATAAAAAACGATCCATCAAATTAAATATGCAAACAGAAAGCAAAGCTAGGTTCGGCTGAGGAGAACTCACCGTTGCATCGGTAGTGCAGCCGGGTGCCATCGGAGAGCACGGCACCAGGAACGGTCTTTCCGGGCAGAATGGCGCCGGCCAGCGCTAGATAAACAAGGTACGACAGGAGTATGCCTGCCTGCGAAACGTAGAATCGCTGCTAAGCAATCGGATCTGAACAAAAGTTATAAATTTGGAAACAGAGAAATTTGAGAGCAACTAACTGAGCTCCACGATGGGATGAAGGAATGTAGAAGAGCGGCCAGGTCCATCTTGCCTTCTCTGAGCGTTGAGATTTCAACAGATCGAGCGAGCGAGCGAGGACGAGGAGAGGGAGAGGGGTGGGGTTTTGCAGGTCGGCAGGGTGGTGTGGGTTTTACAGATGTTTTAGAATTTTATTTGGATTTACATACTCAAGCTATCACATTTTAAATTATTTGTGCAACAACATAACATATAAAATATATAAAGACTATTATCAATATTAATTTTTTAAATAAAATATATCTTTTAATGTGCATATGTTCACTTAACTAGGATTTAATAAATCCTATAAATTCGGATTTATCAGATCTAAAAGGGTTAAATAAAAAAAAATAATTGGTTCGATTAAGATTAAGTTCAGTTAAATCTCTTTGAAATGTCTTAAGGACGAGAGAAGTGACTGCGAAATTCACCTAATAATTGGATTTAATAAATCTAGGATCGTTGATTTAACTTTAATTTTTTATATTTGACATTTTTAAGTTAATATTTACTAAAAAACTGATCTCAGCTAGAAATCTACCACTACACCTAGCCAGGAACGATGTGAAAACACCGATTTCAACAATATGAAAATGCAGTTTTTTGAATAAGCCGTCAAAACGCAATTTAGCAAAAAGATTCTTGTGTGTTTTTAAAACACACTGCACCAAATAAACTGCCCCAAATGGGGCCATAATCTCTTTTAAGTTATACTCCTTTTGATGTGTTAAGATAATAAAACCACACTTACATCATAAAGGATTAATTTGAAATAAAACTAACCATCATAATCAAAACCCTCGGGAAAAAATTGATCAATATAACTTTTTCTCTAACTAGATCACCATAGAGACATATTTTAATGTTGAAAAAATATTCCCTCTTTACTTTTCTTATACAAAGAGACCGTCACTCAAATTACTTTCAATATTTCATTCAATCAAATTACTTTCAATGATGTTGTTGTTATATATGGTGATTTTGAAAATAGATGACAATTCACGTACTCTCTTAGCATGTATTATACATTTTTTATTATTTTCTTATCATTATCCATTATTTGTTGACACTGTTGATCAATTAAAATATTATAAAAATACTTATTTTATTAGAAATTTATCTGAATGACCAATCACAAAACCTAATTTAATTATTAATACATTGTTATCATCTTGCATTCCAACGTAAAACAACAATCATACAAATAAATTGTCTTAATTATTTCCTAAATCGCTTAATTATCATCCATTTTTGTAAATCCTTAGAACCACAAATTTCATATTTTTATTAATTTATTAGCCTTTATTATGCCATTTATTTTGACCTACTTTAATATATATATATATATATATATATATATGTAAACCATGAAGTATATATATATTATGGGTTGGTTTAGA